GACCTGATATTGTTCTGGTCTACACTTGCTTTGGTCCTGCTTATACCTGGATTTTGACCTGGTTTAGATCAGATCTGGACTAGTTTTAGAACAGAGGAATGTTTAGTCCCGTCTATGTTCCCAATCTTTGCGTTTTTATTATTATCCTGACCAATTTAGTGTCTTTTTATATTACACTATTATCATAATAAAAATGACTTTACTTAAATTGAAATAAATAGAGGATATTCAATGTCAACTGTCAAGATTTTTTTGGGATGAGTTTAACACAAACTTTTGGTACATAATTAGCAACACAATGTGCCACAAAAACTACAAAAGGCTAAATAAACTAACCTAAACCTTGCTCCTTATGCATATGTAGGCCCATGTTGTTATATGTTAAGGCTGGACAATAATAGTCCACTCTGTTGTTAAGCAGGAATGTACAGGTCACTCCAGTCATAAACACAGATGCCTTTAACACAGACATCAAGTTGCCTCTTCAGATTACTCCAAAAGATGAGCTCATGTGATGGGCCATAACTTTGACATTTACAACATGCAGTAGTACAGAGAGAGTAGATGTAGGATGTGTATACAAGGCCACAAACATGTCAGATTTTAAAGCCTTCTTGAACATAAAATACATACTTCCAAGAGCTAATTTGTCATTTCATGCATGATCCTGTGGGTTATAATTTAAAATCATACAGCCCTATTACAGTGTTTAAATACTGCTGTTGTAATATCATCAGCAAATGGTTCAACATGTTTTGAGCCTTAGGTGGTATAACATTTAACTTTTACATTTAGTTTTGCACTTTTGCTTAATGTTTAATTGTGTCCAACATTTTGGATAAAAAACGTGCCTGTTGTCAAAGGCTATAGCCCGAGGGAGAAAATGGGGAAACAAAAAAGAAATGAATATTGTATGGCCAGCACCGTTAGCGAAACACTGGTTGTAAAAATGTAATGTAAGAAAGAATAGTATTAGTATTAGTGGCAGCAGCTCAGTGGGTGACCTGGGCGTTACATCCCGTGTGTCTGTGGGAACCGCTCAAGAGGTGGAGGCCAATCTCAGCTGATTCATCTCCTCCTGCCTCTCTACAACTTCAACACAACACTGTAACATTTTAAAATGAGCCGAGGACATTGCTACCTCCCGTCTCCTTGATAAACAAAACAACATACATACGTGCCACTATGCTGCCCCCTCCACTCCACTCCCTCTCTGCTCCCTGGCATCTCCTCCAAATGTTTTACTAGTTGAATTAACTTTTGACAGCACTCGGGGCCTGGTTGCATTGCATACCTATCTCTGGGGTCTATCCATGAAGTTTGCCGTGTGTTGTGGTCGATAAAAAACACTCTTCCGTCGTAGTCCCGGGCTTCCTCCCAGCCTGCGGGCAGCGGCAGCTCCGAGCTCTCTCTCCGCCTTCCGCCGCTCAGCCACGGCATAGCGTCGGGATGGTGAGCCCCCTGCCCTGCTTTTTATCCCCCCGAAAAGTCGCTCCTCTTCACCGCATAACAACACTCCGCCGCCTCGCCGCTCTGCTCCGTAACAAGTAAAAAGGTCCCGTGCGTAAAGTTTCCACTAAAGTTTGCGCACTGAAAAAGTCCCCTCGGAGATACATCCACTTTTCTGGTAACGAACTCCCAGCGCTCTCACGGTCCTCGGTCGTCCATGTTCGCCTCCTCCACCATATTTCATTCCTCCGTGTCCATATTCGGCTGGAGCGGATTTGCATAAAGAGTCGGACGTAGACGGAGCCTGCCGCTTGTCCAATGGGGAGACTTCTGCGCGCCCCGCGATTATTAAAACTTAATTATGCAGATTCAAAGTTGATTTGACATATTGGCAAAGGAGCACGTGTCAGTACAGAAGATCGAGTGAAAATGGACGTACTTAATGAAAGTAGGAACGTTTAACCACATGTTAAGACGGAACACAGTTTTGCCACACAGGCAACTACACTAGGCTTCTAGATCAGGCCTAAAATATCATTATGTTTGTGATAGTTACTTGTAATATGACAAAATGCAAATATTGAACAAATGTGTCAGCAACATAGTCTTAATTTATTCCAGTAGGTTCAAATTTGGGGGGGTGATATGCGATACATGCACACCACCTAGTGGATCAGTCTTGACTGCAAACTTATAGGTTATAATAGGCCTACTGTATTTTATTTAATAGGTACACTAAATCTACAGTGCAAAGGCACAATACACGAAATAATAATATAAGAATCAGAAGTGGGACCAAGTCGTTGTTTTGCAAGTCTCAAGTAAGTCTCAAGTTTTGGACCTCAGGTCCGAGTCAAGTCCCAAGTCAAATACAGGCAAGTCCAAGTCGAGTCTCGAGTCACTGGCCCATAAGTCCAAGTCAAGTCCAAGTCGTCTGCTGTGAGCTTCAAGTCATTTCAAATCTTTAAACCAACGTACCAAATGTATTTATTTATTTTGTGCAATTTATATGAATTTTAAGATAAATTGTACTTAAAAATCGAACTATATTTATACATGAGTATTTATAAAGTATACAAGAGTTGTAGAATTTTTTATTTTTTTCCTTTTTAAATGTCTCGACAAGATCTTAGCGTGAATCATTACGGTCAGAATAGAAAGAATTCGGATTTAAAAGCGCTTCTCAAGTCTTCTCAAGACACATGCCTCAAGTCCGAGTCAAGTCCCAAGTCACTGACCTTCAAGTCCAAGTCGAGTTCCAAGTCTTAGTCCATTTTAGCAAGTCAAGTCTCAAGCCCTAAATATAGTGACTCAAGTCTGACTCGAGTCCAAGTCACGACTTGCCGGTCCCCACTTCTGATAAGGATACGATGGTATATCATACAGCAGCAAAACATTCGTGCACGTGGGCCTAGCTTTAGTGTCGCATACTTTTTGTCAGACCTCTTCTTCTCTACTCTCTATTCCTTCTCTTTAAGGTTTACACATACATTGACTCTGTTCTAGTTGGCTGACTTGTAAATGTCGTTTCCTAAAATATGTGCGCCTTAATATCACATCACTGTTCGCTCTATTAGTGTCCAGCTCTTGTGCAGTGGCGCCCTCTTCTGGACATCACGGATTTCCCCACTGTCAGCTGAGCACTTTTCTGGAGGAGGTGCCGGGGATTTTTATCAGTGCATTTTTCTGTATGTGACATGTCAAACTCGCTGTGTGCGTGTTTACGACGTGGCCAAATATTTTCACATGTTTCAGCTTTGATCTACGGCCTCCCACATAAAGTTCCCACAGGCTCCGGTCACAATAAGACGCACTGTTGTTTCATTTTCAGTCACATGAAGAAAAGGAAAAGTTAAAGGAACTATTCAAAAATAAAGAATGATTTAGGCTTATCGAGATATTGGATCAGCAAACAATATTTTTCTCATTTAACTTCTAAGTCATACATCTTAAATGTATAGAGAATGAAAAAAGGAATATATATTTGGAGAGTTTGTACTTCTATGTTTCAAATACTAATGTGGTTATGCTTTTAAAAAATCAGTTTAGGCTATATTTTACTTTAGTTTTTATTGTAATGTTTTTTGCCATTTTTACTAACTGGATCTTTTTCTCTTTTTTACTGCTTTATGATAATGCTTCTAATTGCAAATGATTTATATGCCATTTGTTGGCCACATTCCACAGCTTAACTGAACTATCTCCTCACTCAGTGTGAAACACAAACCTCTTTACATTCCAGTCCATTCAAGTACATAGCTCACTAATTCAATGAAGTTAATACAACTGTGCATTTAGCATCTAGTTTCTATCTGCAGCCTTCACGTGTGCACAACAAACATACAAAATTACATACCCATTACTAAACTTAATTCACTTTATCAGTTAATGTAACACCAAGTTTTTGCCTGCATGATAAAGAATGTCATTTAATTCATGAATTCAACTTTTCTAGTAAAGGATCCTTCACCTGTTTGTCTGTGGCCAAATCAATAAACTCCTCCAATGAAACATGCAAGTGGCAGATTCCCCTCCAGAAAAGTTTGAGCGCATCTTTAAAGGCCAAGAAGTTCAAACAATATTCAGCATGTAGGGTTAGTATTGTTAATGTGCAGATTCTAGTGCAGGCATTTGTGATATATGTGTATATATGGTTCTTTTGAATATATATCTTTTAGGTAAATTAACTTAAAGGGGCAATATGTAACTTCTGGTCCACCATATTCAGGTTGTCTTCATGCATATGTTAGTGGATTGTTTCAGTATTTGGCTTTAAACTGTTTTCATCTTATTGACTTATTCATGTTTTATAGCTCAAAAAACACATTCAGTGCACTTTTACTGTGAGTGGAGTCACCTCTCCACAGATGTGATCTGTACTTGGCCTGGTGGTTACATGCTTGTGTCCATGGAGAAGGATTAAAGAGATTAAGGACATGCTGTGGAACATTATAGGCATGTAGACATTATCACCATGGAGACAAGCTCTGACCAGAAAAGTTGAATAGTGCACATCTAAAAACCCAAATGTCTCCTTTGCATCAACACAATATTTTAATTGTTTCATTCTTGTGTGCAAGTAATATAAGTTCTTCATGGCGACTGTGCAAGTTTAAATCAAAGTCATCAGGTCAACCTCTGTAGGACTCTATGGATTCAGAAATGCTTGTATCTCAAAGAAAAAGTGTCATTGAAATCTTCAGTCTGTATTGGATGACGTCTGCTGTGGCAGCACTGGTGGGAAAAGCATTTGACATAGATCTTGTCTCAAGCCGGGTCGTGTGTGCCTCTGCCCCTGCTGCCCATTCTTGGCAGGAAGACCTCTGAAGGGGGCTGGGTCTGGAGCTGCTCTGGTCCTCTCTCCTCCCTGCTATAGAAGATGAGTGCCTCTCTGAGTGTTTCTTAGCCCACCAGCTTGTAACGCTTAAAGTCAGATAGAATTTTCAGGTATTGCCAGTAGCAGCTAACTCGCTCCTTGTCGTTCTTGGACTGTCCTCTTCTCCAACTTCTCCAGCTTCTAGCCTAACTCTTTCAAACTTTTTACACCCAACATGGACACATGCACCTGTGCTATGGAACTACTTGGGATGCTGCTCTTTGTTAGTGCTTGGCTCTGCACTTTGACTACCACTATCCTACCACAGTGGCTGACCATGTCTACAGCCCTCCTACCTGTCGAGAGCTACGATTTGGGACTTTGGGAGACCTGCGTTGTTCAGGACGTTGGGGGCATGGAGTGCAGAGCTTATGACAGCCTTCTGGGACTCTCCCATAATCTGAAAATGGCTCGTATGTTCATGTGTTCATCTCTGGGTGCTGGCTTGCTCGGAATATTGGTCTCAATACCTGGACTTTATATTATCAATACCTGTAAGGACCAAGACGGTGTCCGGACCAAGCGGACTCTGACTGTAATCGGAGGGGTGCTTGGAATAGTAGCTGGGGTACTGTGCCTCATTCCTGTTTGCTATATGGCGCATCTCGCTGTCATTCACTTCTTTGATGACAAGGTCCCAGATGTGGTGCCCCGGTGGGAGTTTGGTGAGGCCCTGTACTGTGGATGGGTAGGGGGATTCTTGCTTATCATAGCCGGGCTAGTGTTGATCTTCTCTGGGTCGTGTTCCCAGGAGGAGCCCCAGTCCACGGTGCAGCGGACGTATCACTTCATGAACTCTGATGTTGCCTACAAGAAAAGGCAGGAGTATGTTTAATGACTTGAAATGAAAGACTGGAAATACTAGACAATCATGTATGTAGAAATACACTGGATGTACTGGTAGCCGTAAGTTAGTCATACCTTGGGTCTCAGAAGTTTTAGTTGTAATATTCAAAAATACAAATCAGCTAATACTTATGCTTGTTGGTTACCATACATTATGAAAAGAGTTCAATAATTTTGGACACACAACTTTGTTAAGATGCAGAAACAAATTGTTGATTAATTATAGTATATGTGTGTTTGACTTCTGAAAATAATTTTACCTAACAATTCTGTCAAGGTATGAGTAAAAATGGGCTATACATGCAGGTTAACATCCAAAGTGACAATCATCAGCCTTGAAATATGACTATCATTTCTTTAAAAAAAACACCAATGACACAAAGACAGACAGCTGAGCTGTCTTCCACTATGCAATATGTCGTACTGTTTAAAGGTAACTTTAGGCTTTGTATATGACACTTTTAAGCTTATGTTATTTTCTATGCTGTGATTAAGTTATTTTAAGTGAGTTTTTGGTGTTGTCTAGTTTTGTAGTTTATGTGTAAATGTAAATACATAAAATGGAAATGTAAAAAACATATTTCTGGCTTTATTGTTTGATTTATTATTATGGAAATCAGTTACAATTTTACTGTAAGAATTATATGTTTATTTTCCATGGAATACGCCCACAGTCAGAGGTTCTCAACATGTGGTGCAAGTTTTAATGGTGGTTTGTATTATCCACACTGGTAGTATTGATTTTAGAGTGTAAATTAAGATGAAATGTTTTCAGTTATGCTCCACGCCCAAATGCCCAAATTTATGTCAAGTTTCCTACTTGACTGAAAATACTTTTCAGTTTTATTGCCAACCTTCCCACTAGTGCAACTTGAAAATCACTGCTGTGTGATTATGAGATTTGTACCAACAGAAATACTTCCTGTTATGTCAGTGGTGAGACCTGTCCACATGTGACTAATCTGTTGATAATTACATAAAGCAGCAGTCTCTGATCACCTCTGTCCCTGAGACGACAGCTCTCTGCGGGGGGTAGCGCCCCCAAAACTGCCCCACTCCTCCGGCCTCTGTTCCAGGTGAGTGTGGGGCGATGGAAACTGGTTTGAGCCTAATTCCTGGAGATTTGCCGGTGGGTTGCTGGGCTAATCTGTGTTTAATGAACGCTTTAATGGGCGCGTGTACCGTGAAGAATGTGGTACAGTCGGCCTCCCGCACCACTCCTGCTTGAACATCAACAAATGTTTCAGGTTCAGAGGTCACCATGCTCTCCTTCTCCCTCCTCCTCTGTTTGTGTTTATGATTTAGCACAAAAACACTTAAGCAGCCCTTTTTGAATATGTTCTGAGGAATCAAAGTAATACAAAAATGTACCACATTTTACTTGAGAACTTGGTTTATAGTCTGTGAAAGAGTGAACGTAAGCCTATTTATTACCCTAATATATAAAAAGAAGTTGCAGTAGTTGTGGTAAGAGGCCTAAAGCTGTATAAACACTATTTTTATTCACTTTCTTTGGGGCCAAAGGCAGAGTCCTGGTGTGAAGGGACTATTGGAGAGAGGTGCAGGTGGAGTGCCAAAAGTGTTACAAATAATATTGCACATGTATAGGAATGTAATTACCAAAAAATTATAAACTGAATAAGAGCAAAAAATAAATAATTTAAAAAATACCTATTGTCCATGTTGATGAACTCTCCCAAGAAACCCATCCATACACAGAGAGCACATGCAAACTCTGCACAGAAAGACCCAGTCGGCTCAGAAATCCAACCTTCTTGCTGAAGCAAGAGGGCCACCATAACATGAGCATTTAGATACTTTATTAATAAAATATTAATTAATAAAAGAATTCTGATGTGAAACATCCTCCACTTAAGGCAGGGACTCTCCACCCACCTGGAGAGGGCAAGATGCCTTTTGCCAGTTGAGAACCATGGCCTGGGAGTTCAAGTGGAGGAGTTCAAGTATCTCAGGGGCTTGTTCACAAGTGAGGGGAGGATGGAGCGTGAAACTGACAAGTGGATCGGTGCAGCGGCTGCAGTGATGCGGTTGCTGTATGGGACTGTGGTGGTGAAGAATGAGCTGAAAGGCAAAGTTCTCGATTTACCATCAATCTATGTTCCTACCCTCACCTATGGTCACGAGCTCTGGGTAATGACCGAAAGAACAAGATTGTGAATACAAGCGGTTGAAATGAGTTTCCTCCACAGAGTGGCTGGGGGCTTCTTTACAGATAAGTTGAGGAGCTCAGTCACACTGGAGGAGCTCAGAATAAAGTCGCTGCTCCTCCATGTCAAGAGGAGCAGCTGAGGTGGCTCAGTTATCTGTTGGATGTCTCCTGGGCGCCTACCTCAGGAGGTGTTCCAGGTTTGTCCCACCAGAAGGAGGCTCAGAGGAAGACCCAGGACATGCTGGAGGGACCATGTCTCTGGGCTGGTGTGGGAACACCGTGGGGTCCCCCGGAGGAGCTGGAGGAAGTATCCGGAGTGATGAAAGTCTGGGAGTCTCTGCTTAGACTGCCGTCCCCGTGACCCGGCCCCGAATAAGCAGAAGAAAATGGATAGATGGAACAATGATGTTTTTACATCATTCATTCATGCCATCCATGGCACATAGGCCTCATGTAGGCCTCCACAAAGGCATTAACCCTCTTGCAATGATAAAACACAGTGCCTGAACCACATAATTAATGGCAGAAGGCAAATGCTTTATCAACAACAGCACTTCACAATCTTTCTCACCTAATGATTAAGAGTTTTTTTTTTCTTAGCTGACCTCTTGTGGGAGAGATTGATCATACCTTATATTGGTGTTTACAAAGTGTAGTCACACATTATAAATGGACATTTTCATGGATGTTTTGTAAATACATGTTTGAAATCTTTTTTTCACAGTAACCTAAACAAGCACAGGCATTATGGAGCCTTTATGTTCCCCCCCTCGAGTTGCCCTTAAGTTTACAGTATATAGAGGAGACTGACTGTAACATGACCCCAGAGACAGCTCAGATGGAGATAAAGATAATCCAACGCTGGACTTTGAAAAGACATTAAACTCAGTGCAGCGTGCAGGATTTTCAGCTTTCAGAAATCATACTTCCTCTGATTCAGGAGATACAGGAGGTTGTGTCCTCACATCTTTGTAAATCCGCTTATCTGTCTTTAAAGACTGTCAGCACCAAGTCCTCTCTGTCAGGGGTTCAAACTGATGCAAGACAATATCTATAGATATCAAGATATGCATTTTAGAAGTGATCATATACTGTGTATCTATAGATAAGCCATATATAAACAAAGCATATAACTGTAGTTTTGACTGCACATTTGAAATAAATCTTTGTTGTTTATCTCATTTTGATCACCACTGTGTATTCTGGCATCTTTCTGTCAGAAATATAGATGTTTTTGCTTTTAGCAATGTTGGGTATAATAATTAGGAACACTTTCTAACAATAACTGCAGACCAGGAACCCAACGCAATAAACACAATATGTGAAGTTTAAGATCCCTAATGCAAATTTTAAAATCAACTCAACTATGTTTTGTTAATCTATTATTTATTTATTTTTAACAGTTTTGTAAGTACAATGTCAACAATTCAACATTACAAACTGACAGAACAAAATGTTAAATTAACAAGCCATAAAAAAGCATCAGTTGACATCACAAGATTTCAAAAACTTTCCTCAAATGTTTGAAATAAATCCTTGCTACTTTGATAACATAAGGTGACCGTGGCCCTTTACTCTTCCATTCCTGTATCTGCATTGGGCCTGATAGAGCGGACGATGGAGCGCACCAGATTAGATAAAGCACAACCACATGAGCCTTATCTCAGACTGGGAGTGTGCACGAGGTCTCAGAGCAGAGGGAGAGGCTGCACGGGAGATGGCTCATTTAAAAAACACTTTATCTACTCTAATGTTTATGTTGTCATCAATCCAATTTATAACATTTTTCTGCAGTTACACGTGAACTCAAAATTGATTGATATCAAATATTTGGAGTGATAAAAGCAAGATCACCTCATTTCATTCTGATAATGGTCCCTTTGATTACTCACATCAGATTTTGCAATTTACATGTCATTTATCTGATCTTAAAGGTCCAGAAATCAGATTATAATAAGATTTTGGTGTGTATGTGAACAAGGGTTTTTCACTTGGTCTTTTGTAGATGTGCAGCGATGCAAGAAAGTCATAACAGAAAAAACAGTAACAGCACACTAAAAAGATATATTCAATTATATGCTAATGGTTTGTGTGACAAACAAACAATTTTTCCAGAATGCAGTTTTTTTTATGAATTCCAGATGATATGGAAAGATAAAAAAATATTATTGTGCAGTACATATGCAGGGCAGATAGCTTAATGTCTCTCCACTCTCTCACCCCACTGTGTGCTTTGACATCTCTCCAAATATAACCAATAAAAACACATTTTTGATTCATTTTAGCTATTATAAATTGTTTCCCGAGTAAATGGTTTCATAATGTAATCTATACATCTGGTCAAACAGATAAATAAGAATCAACTTTATTGTCCCAGAGGATAATTTGTCTTTGGCGGGAGTACAAACAGCTGCAAACACAACACAATAATGGAATAGAAGAAGATAATAATAGAAGACAGAGTAGAAACTAATAGAGGAAGTTGGAAAAAGCATTGTGTTGATTCCAACTTGGGCAGCACTGTCCAGTGAAGTGCCCCAAAAGTGTTTTTTCTGCCCCCGTGTTGCGGTCACAGCAGGTCCACAGTTCATCCATTGGTGGGACTTGTGTGTTTTTGAGAGAGAGATGGTGCCGCTGTGAAGAGGGTCTTTTGTTCCTCTGCCGCTGGACGCCTCCGGAGAGGTGCACATGCCTGCTCTCGTCAGCCTCCCACTGGGTCACATGAACAGCCAGACCCCCCCTCCCCAGTCCCTACCCCCTATGGTCTAAACCAGGTCTAAACCAGGTCTCAACCAGGTCTCAATCAGGTCTAAACCAGGTCTAAACAGGGTCTGAACCAGATCTAAACCAGGTCTGAATTGGGTCTAAATCAGTTCCGAGCCAGGTCTAAACCAGGTCTGAATCAGGATAATAACAACACTACAAGGCTAACTGATCTTAACAATATACAGATAAACTTTATTATGACATATAGACACTTACACACACCCAGCCATGAACTCTTCAATAATCCAATGAGTTTATGACAGTCCATGGTCAGTAAAGGGGCAGGAAGCAAAACCCACACACAATTGGAGCTAACAATTTTTCACAGTTGAACTACTAAAGTGTATGCCACCACAAAGGCCTCAACCCGATCTCGCAATGGACATATATCCTAGAATTTATCCTGAACTAGAATAAATAATCATCTTTTCTTGGACTACTGTGGACTGGGAATATTTTTAGATTACGTTAAAGGCGATGTGTAATGGTAGTCACCAGAAGTGGAGACTTGCACTCGAGTCAAATTTGAGTCACTGTTTTTAGGACTTGAGACTTAACTTGATAAAATGAACTAAGACTTGGGACTCGACTTGGACTAGAAGGTCAATAACTTAGGACTTGACTCGGATTTGAAGCCTGTGACTTGAGAAGACTTTTAAATCTGAATTCTTTCTATTGTGACCATAATGATTTAAACTAAGGTCTTACCAAGACATTTAAAAAGGAAAAAATTACATTGCTACATCTCTTATATACTCTATAATACTCTTATATAAATATACTATAATTTTTAAAGTACAATTTAGTTTAAAATTCATATAAGTTGCAAAAATCTAAGCTATGTTTGGTACTTTGGTTTAAAGACTTGAAATGACTTGAAGCTCAAAGCAGACGACTTGGACTTGATTTGGACTTATGGGTCAGTGACTCAAGACTCGAGTTGGACTTGCCTATATTTGACTTGGGACTTGACTTGGACTTGGAGGTCAAACACTTGTGACTTACTTGAGACTTGCAAAATAATGACTTGGTCCCACCTCTGATAGTCACTATACTTTCCTGACTGTCTTTTTTCATTATTTCTTAATTACTGTAAAGACACTGTATCTTTGACTATTGTTATGACTCCACTTAACCCAAACTGATTCATCCTTAAAAACAATTCACTCTGTTTTTCATTTTAAGAGGTTTTCCCATCATGACATCTCCTCCAACTGAAAAGCCGCATTATCTCTGCCCTTGGTTCCTCCATTGGGCTGTTGTCCCGAGCTCGATCCGAGGCTTGTTTGAGTCCAGGGACCACAAAGAGGGTCTGACGGGTCTTTTAGGGTTTCTGTTTTTAGTGTTTGCCAACCATAGCGATAGCACAAAAAAGTCAGACCACTTAAAAGCATTAGCACTGAACTAAAAGCCCCCACTATGATGGCATTGCCCACTTTCTGACTGACTGGAGCGGCAGGAAAGTGGTACTCTGGTGGAAAGTCTATTGTGTGATTGTTGAGGACAGAGTTCAAGTTCCAGGCTATTGGCAGCAAGGAGCAAAAACCTGTAAACAAATATATAGTCCCAGCTAGGGGGAAGAATAGCTTGATTCTGCTACGGTTTTCCACAGAAAAGTATGCAAGTCTCATTCCATTAGCGGCAACCATGTTTCCAACCAACCCAGTGATCAGAGCCAGCATTATTAGTACCTGTGCTACTTTGATCTCTGTGGGTAAAAACGATTCTGTGATACTTAAGTACTGGCAGTATTCAATTTCAGACAATACGTGGCTGTAGAAACATGCCCTCCAGATGCCAACCCAGGCCACGCCAGAGTTGATGACAGTTGTGTTGTTGACGAACCAAATGCGCCATTGGTTCAGCCCAGTCGTGGCCAAGGTGATGATCCAAGAGAGGAACCCTACAACCAGAGCGAAGAACTGCCAGTGGGCAGTGTGGGCAATGTACAACATGATATCCAGACAAGGGTAACTCACGCGCAGGCTAATCCAGTCAGGGGAAACATCTGGAAGCAAGAGACAAATGTTATTGAGTTGCATTTGTACTAATTCTGTCCATTTTGTGAAGACTCTTAACTAGAGGTGTGCAAAAATATCGAAATATCTATATATTGTGTCATTTAATGTGATGATACAGTATCGATATCGTGGGCTGCTGAATCAATATATCGCCAAGAGTATATTTTTTTTGTATATTTTACAAAATTATTTTGTTGAAAAGCGACAGTTTTGTTGTTTCTTCAGAGGAAGGAAACTCATTTATGCAACACATTTGACATTTTCACTGCATTTTTCATATGAACTTTGCAGAAGAAGTGGTTTAACAAAGACTTTTAGTATCACAGCCATGATTAAGCCTTTACTTTGTATTGAACTGTATCTAATAATTTTGAAATGTCGTATCGAATTGAAAAGTGCACTGTATCGAGATATGTATCGTATCGGCAACTTCTGAATGATACCCAGCCCTACTCTTGACTCCCCCTACTGGTTTGTAATGATTTTTCTTTACAACTATCCACATAAAAGTCTTAATTCTTCCTTATGATACCAATTATTTCTGTTTTTGGAGAACTGTATTGATTCAAGACAACTGAAACTGAGGCTGCCTACTCATGTGTTGACCGGGTGACTACTGTGCATTTGCGATGTTGAGAACAAGCCTGAAGAGTCTACAAAATATGGCTACATTTTCAGCTGAATCCAGTCAATAAAAAATAATTTGACTCTATAATATGAATTGTAATCCAATGACAAACTTCTTTATAAGCATCATACAGTCTTTCCTACCTTATCTCCTTCTTGACGGCACAGGTAGGAGCCCGACTCCATCCGTCGTCTTCAGCAGTTTAGAGAAAGACAATGATTTATGGAAAAACTCTCACTTTGGTAAATACTGTACAAATGTTTGAGGAGGCAGGAGTCCTTTGACGCTCTTACCACAGAACAGTCAGTCCACACAAAGCACTGGTTAATGATTGTCCATTTAAACCTGTGCAGGAGCTGTAAAATACACACCTGTTACATTGTTAGCGCACAGGTTTTCTATTTATACGGTTGATACTATTCATTCTAACTTAGGCTACCTTATTTGTGCTAACTGACTACTGCAGTAATGACTCAACTGTACATGATCTTATGTATGCAATTCTAATTTAATCTATAATATGCAATGTTATGTGTATTTCTCAACTATTATGAGCAGGATCGAGTCAATAATTGACTTTGTGCAATATGCTAATCAGTGATAAAAAAGTAAAAAAAAAAAAAAAGTAAAAATCTAAATATTTGCACGCTTGCCATGTGTGGTTGGTGAAAAATTTGTCAAAATGATCGTGCACGGTGGTATGCAAAACTAGGATACTATGAGATCACCCTACTCTGGTGTCAATAACTATGTCTTGATGGGTTTGTACACTTGTAAAATAGCTTAGGGCTGAAAATGTTGTGTAATATAATGTAAAAATTATGTAAAAATTGATACACAGAACACGTCACAGTCAAGACAGACCCATTTGTTATCAGCAAATTACACAGATTTTGTTATTGCCCAACTGAATAATGCTAAATGTGTTAAATTGACTTTTATCTATTATGTTTTCCCAAATTAAACCCATTTCTTTCTAAAAAAAAAAAATAAAAAATTAAAATTAAAATGGAAAAGTTTGGAAAAATTTACCTTTAAAATTATTAGTACATGCTATACTGAAAAGTGGTAAAAAGTAATATTGGTGACTGGTGGTAAATGAATAAGTGTTATTAATAATGGGGGAAATTATTTAAGTAATAATATAAATTCCTGTTTCTGTTTTTTCATTTATTTGTTTTTGTTTTATGTTGTCTTTATTATGTTGAGGTTGTGAGCTTAGTTTTATTTATTTGTGTCTTATTTTCATGTTTAAAAAAATACAATAATACAATAATAATAATCTGTTTTTATTTTTAATTCTTGTACATTCATTATTTTAACTGTGCCCCTGTTATGAAATAAATGACCGATGAGCTGAAGTGATGTTGGAGGATGTGATTTATTGTACAGTTAGTATATTCTCAAACAAATCTATGCATTCACGCTGAACTGTGGAAAACATGACACAACAAAACACACCGGTTGAATTCTCAGCTGGTTTTTCATGATTTTCTGTCCGTGATGCAAACTTAAAACACTACATGCGGTGGTGAATCAAAGACCAAACATTACACTGTGACCCCACCCTTTCCCTCTAAACTTGAGCCACTTCACTTTTGCTTACTGTGAAGTGCTGAGTGGAACAAGTGCTCTTAAAAACAACACGTAATCTGCACATTCATCCTGTCTCCAAAGTTTATTATTGCAAAAAATATTGAAACTTTTCTTTTAGGGCACAATTATTTTAGTAAAAAAGGCCACTAATTTTTAGATACAAATGTTAAATGCATTGATTGAAATATACGGTCAGATTTTATGGATGGTTTTGTAACAATGTGGACTTAAATCTTGATAAATACTAAAAACTGAAATGGGAAAAATCAGTTAAAAAATACTGTCCTCTCCTGTGCAGATTCAAAAGGCTACAATAAATTACTAAAAAAACATTAAAACAACAAAAACAAAGCAAAACTGGTGGTTAGGCAAAAGACAAATCGCAGTGGTTCACTGATGCTCAGTAAAACATCATGTTTCATAATAAGAGGTGGCTCCTAGTGGTTTTATGGCAGTCCATTGTGAAGTAACAGATCAACTTTGTCATAATGTGATAAAGAAAATAAACAGCAAACAGAAGTCTCTCAAGTCAATGTTGTTTGCCAATACATGGCTCCCTCTTGTGGACCCAGAGATGTACTGCAAGTGCAAGTCAACCAAATCAAACATGAGAATTCGTCTATCGATTTGATGCTGAAGCAGCAAATCATAAAATTGCAAGAGACACTGAATTATTCTCCGTATCTCTTCTACTGGAAAAGGGTCTGCACTGCGTTTAACAAATCAACAAATTTCTTGAGATTTTCTTTTTAACTAGAGATGAGGAAAATTAACAGGGATGAACATAGAAATTTAAGCCTGTATCAAAAATGTCAAAGTTGTACCTTTTTAACACAAGCGTTAGATGAGACCATCAAAGTCTCCAGTCTTCCCCTAGTGGAGACAAGGACGTACTGCAAATCACTCAAACGATATCAAATTAAAGTTGGTCTCTTGTCAACATAATTCTGCCCACTTGAACGAGAAACTTAAAGACACAGTCAGATTTACCTCTAGTGGACATGAGGTCATATTGCAACTGAAATCAAGTCAAAATTTGTCCTTTTTTAAACACAAACTAGTCTATTTTGTTCATAAGGAGAGCCTCTGCTCGATGGGCAGGCTGTCCAGCAGACACTTGAGCTGCTCCTCTCCCAGTTTGATCTTGTCCTCAAGTTTGCGCTGTTCAATAATCAGCGCTGACTTCATTTTGACAAAGTGCTCGTAGTCCGTGAGAGTGTCCTCTTGAAGGTAGTTAGCCAAAATGTCATAAACGACTCTCTCCCGCCGGTCCAGGTTCTCCTTTAGCTCCTTGGCGTCCTCGTGCTGCCGGATCAGCAACTTCCTCTTCTCAGTCAAAGTGCGCTGGAGATAAAAACAATAAACATGTCAGTGGATGGAGAGCGGGGTTGTTTGGTGATACTAATAAACTGGTAATCATATTAATAATAACATTATGGTTACATAATGATTTTACAGTTAGTGTATGAATCATTTGACAGTTGCAAAGATGCACCACCTAAGATATGACACGTACTAGTTTGTGGCATAACTAGACAGTGAAACTACTCAGTTTGATTTTAACTTTTGCTATGGGCTGGAGTAATGATAGTTAAACAGTTTCAGAAATTGCAATGGTTGGCCTAATCTCATTAAAGATCAAATAAAACTGAATCAATACCAACATTATGTTTAAGCAGAGCAAAACAGTAAGAGTAAATGTCACTCCTATACAAGCAGTGAATGGACAATGGTGAGAATCATAAAGCTAAAACTGATTACATCTTTTCCTTACCCTCTCCTCCGGCGTAGCGTCCTCCTCCAGACTATTGAGGGCGTTCTCTACTCGGGCCAGCCGTCCGGACAGAGACAGCAGCAGTGACACCACTTTGTCCAAGTCTCCCACAAACATCCTGAACTTGTCAAGCTCGTTTGGCTTACAGACCTGCTGCACCTGCACCTCCACCTCCTCTCCCAGAGCATTATTGTCCAAAATGTCCTCCTGAAGACTCTCACGTGCCTCACGCAGCACCTGCAGCTTTTTAGTGAGGCTGTCGATCAGCTCTTGCTGTAAAATATACACCGTCATATTAGACTTGGAAGATTACGTTCACTGTTAAAAATGTTTCTTCAGTGCTTCAATGTTTCAATGCAGTGTTTTTCCAAAAATGGGAATAGACGATGGTGCCCCCCATATAAGATGAACAATATTATAAAAATGAGTCATTTAATATCATGACGCATAACCAATAATAATTAATTTACTTTAATCAATCTGGACCCAACTTAAATATCGATTGTCTGTCTGGTTGCTGAACCAAACTGGCTTGACCCATAAAGGTGAATTCTCAACTACATAAGAACCTCTCAAAGTCAGTGGGGTATTATGATTGGATGATACCTTTTTATTGGCCAGGTCCAGGTCCAGCTCTTCCTCAGAGTCCACCTCTTCCTCTGGCATGTCTTTCATTTTGATGAGCAGCTCGGCTTTAGGAGCAGACGTGCTGTAGTAAGTAGCACTGGTCACCATGGTAACAGCTGGCATGTTGTCCTCCTTCTCCCTATATGGGCGTAAAATAGATGATTTAATTAATGATTAGGCATGAATAACTAAATAATACTCTTCACAATCCAGAATGATGGCAAACCATATGAAAAGTTAAGATTTATTTAAATGTAACAACAAGTTAGCAGCTTTTGCCTTCATTACAGTAGTTCAAAATGTGTCAAATAACCACACCTGTTCTCTTGTGGTCTGGGTGGGGCCTGTTTCACTGAACCTTTGCGTCTGTGGTGTGCCCCCTCGATGAGCTGCTCTCCTTCTGGAAAGATTCCCTCCATCATGTCCATGGTGGTCTTCATTCGGCTTTGGTCCAGGATCTCGGCCAGGGACTTGTCTTTGCCCATGATGTCCCGCGCCAACTCTGCCCTCTTCTGGTCCTCTGTGGTACTGTCAGCTGGTTTGTTATTGTTATTCGCTTGCTCATCCGAGTTCATATTGTGGTCTTTTATAGTGCTAATATAAGTGTCTTTTTGTGGCTGGTTTTGAGTCACGTTGTCCTGCTCTTTTGACCGAGTGAAAGCACAGAATACAGAGTCCTGCCCCCCGGCGTTTAGACTGGCGAGGCGGACCACAGTCTGCCCTTCTGCTGGAGTGGGATCAGGGTGCTTCAAAAACGGACAGTTCTCCTTCTCTGCGGCTCCCTCTGAGTGGACAATCCGAATGGGAACTTTCTTCACTGCTGGATTTTGGGCTTCCACCACCTGCTCGAATCTAAAATAAGAATATACAATCACATCATTTTGACATTTCTGGCCTCTGATACGGCAACTTGGGTTTGTGCAAGCTCTGTTCATGTCTGTGATTTCTATAACCAAGACATATGTGAATTATGATAAATCAAATAAGTCCAAAATATGGAAGACTGAAAAAATATAATCTCTTATACATTCTTCACTTTTCATAGTTGTAATACAATGGCAATATGCTCTTTTAATAACATACAAGACCGACTCCATCTTACCGTTTTGATCGCCAGCATTCGATAAAACTGAATATTAGAGAGTCAAATGTACAGCTTTCCAAAATGCTCCTTTATACCCACTCATCTTACTGACAGAGCTGATGCCGAGAGGAAAACCCAAAACATTACTTGCCTATTTTTGCTTCTGGCATTCAAAACATCAATTTACTCCATCAGTGCAACCGGCACCGTTTTTCCATGCCTTTGACAGATCTTGCTCTGATATTTCTGGCTAGCCCTAACTCTCAAACTGTACAGTCACAAGCTAGCACAGATGATATCAATTAGCCCTGAATCAACAAACTTCTTCAAGATAGGCTGAACTATACTAGTGGCTTTTCAAGGAATTGTTCAAATTGTCCCCTGCAACCACACTATGCAGAGTTAATTTAGTACTGGTTGATCGTACTCACATGTGTCACAGTACAGTCCTTTGTACACAATCTAAATGAATAAATGAGTAGTAGTATTCAAAGTATTTCAGTTCTTACCTGTTGGAGTTGGAGTCTTCATGCAGAGAAACTGGAGGCTTGTCACTGAGTTTCTGAGGGGAGAACTGAGGAGAGGGTGGTCTTTGCGTCTCCATATTGTTTTGCCCTGTCTCTGAGTGGGACGATGCTGTGACCGGCTGCTGCTCTGCCCCTTGTCCTTTGTCCACGAGTCCCTTGGCCTGCTCCAGCCCTGTTTTTGGGATGGGGGCGGGCGGAGGGGCGGGGCTAGGGTGACTGGAGATATCACTGGTATTAGAGGAAGTCACGTCTTGGCATGCGCTAGGCGGGTTGCTCCTGGGTTCAGATCGTGCGTCTTCTTTCCTGGGGTCTTGGAGGTTGTGGGAGAAGGCGATGGGTTTATGGCTGCTTACAGTGGGACCACCTCTGCTAGACGCTGTCCTGGGCTGTGTGGGCGGGGCTGTGAAGGGCTCCTGCTCCCTCAGTCTGTCAGCCAACCTAAAAGCAGAGACAAAGCTTTTAATTACACATCCCTGCACCACGGACTATCATCTTCAGCTCAATGAAATAATACGCTGCAGTGCACTGTGGGTAATATGGGTCGGCGTGACATGGCACACTTCTCCGCTCCAGTGTGAGACTCTGCACAGTGTTTAGTTGGCAGGGCAGACATGCATACTTGAGTTCCCACAAGTCGACGCAGAGGAATAAATAATCCTCCAGTGCAAAGGAGAAGCAAGGGCCACATCACTTTTTCCTCCCTGGTTTCAGGTTTAACTCTTTGGAGATAGATGCAGTCGGATGGGATGGTGATTCTTTACTTTTACACAATTATTCATTTTAAAACCTCTCCAAAAATGGACAGATCAATGTAATTATGTACCAAGGCAAAAAAACATTAGTTAGATATAAAAATGTGGGAGTGTGGTGATAACACTCAACACTGATCTCTGTGGGACACTTCTTCTAGTAACAATATGCACTTTGATTTGTTTGTTTTAAAATAATATTTAATATATTTTATGTATGTAATTACTGTGTATTCAGGTCTATAGAGATTTTTTACAATATTTTTACATTAGTTAAGAAACTGTTTCAAATTGTTTCAAATTCTCAAAGTTAAATCTGTTTCTATCCATTGTGGAGTTGACACAGACATTTCCCCTTTGAAACCACCTACCCAAGGAAAGAATGTGGTATAATGTCTGTCTTTTTGGTTTGATTACTTCCTGAAGATCGACACCTTCCAAAACACCCCTCCCATAAAAGCAAACAAAAAACTAAAGCCAAATTCCAGACAATGCAAAAGCTTTAAATACATTCCCATTCAATTGTGTAGAGGACAATTTTGTATAAAATAGCATGTTTAGTTTGAACCATACTCTTATTATGAACTCTTATTTTGAATCCTTTGGTTGACTCTGACCGGCCCACTTAAGTTAATTTGGAATTACAAAATAAACATATTTTTTAATTTTACCTCGTGCATGAATTTAATCTGCATTGCTTTTGTTTTAGGTCTTTTTTAAATGCCATTTTTTGTAAGGCAACCTCACTTCATTGCTTAGTCATAACATAAGCTCTTACCAGTCTTACCAGCTCATCAAAAACAATGCTATTTACTGCTTTTTTTTAATGTATTTATTTTTTTTAAATAAAGAAATACAATTAATATTATGCAGAACTGAGTTAAGCATTTTGGCCCAGCCCTCCATAATATTTTCTGTTTCTCATGTGGCCCCATAAAAAAATAATTGCCTACCCCTGCTTTAAAACTTACTTTTTACAGTAACCAACTTGTATTTGTTGCATTTCTTTGCTTTTAATAAACAAATTTACAGTAGGAAAATTACCTATTGGACAAAATTGACAAAGAGAAACCATTCTCATTCCAACCTTCTTCAAAACAATCATCCAACATTTAAAAATTATCTTTTGATTTTTGACAAGGTAGATTTGTGACTACACAGGAAAGCCACCCAAAGCCTTCTAATTCTGCTCTCCATCAGCGCTGATAAGATCTTTTCACATGTTAATGCTTTGGAGAAAAACTATTAGCAACACTTAAAGCACACATCAATTCACAGACAAGCCTTTAGTCTTCAAACGTCATAATTAAACCCAGGCTGGTACAAGCTTGGACAGGCTCCCTACATGAACTGTGTTAATGTGGATTGTTCAGTCTCTTAAGTGTCATGACTGGATAATAGAAGGATGAGAATGGTGAAATGTGATGCCAAAGATATCATAACAGGATATAGGAGAAATACAAGGACAGGCATTAAGTTATTTAACTTGCCAAAAGTATTTAGTATGAAAACATAATACAAAATGCGTCCATTTAAGTTTTCTCACACCCATCTGACGTACAAATGACCTCAGGGTTTGTACAGGTACATACTATACATGTATTGAAAGCTTGCCAAGAAGACAAAAAGTAGTTTGTTTGTCAATTTTAGATGTCAAACCATTAAAATGTCAGAAGAATACACTTATTTACTAGTAAGCTTAGAAACCATCAGCTAATTATTGCCAATAATAAACAATTTATTATAAAAAGGACTATGTCTGTGTAATCCCTCAATCATCCACATCTGATCCACAGCAAAAGATAAATTCAATTCTCAACAAAACAAACAAAAAGTTTTAAGAGTGAAGAAGTTTCGCTGCTCATCCTTCTTCAGTTCTGAGCTTTTTGTCAAGCTGAAAAAATTCAGTTTTTTAGCTCTATTATAAGTAACACACAACTCACCAGAAAGCTTGCCTGACTGCCGTCATCTCCATAGATCCGCACTTACAGTATCCTATGAGGTCAGTATGGCCAGTATATGTGCTGCTATGTGCTACTATGTGCTAGTGTGAACATCCGCTGGCTTTGTGACAAAGGCCACCTGTTGACGTATCAATATCAGTGGAAATGGGTGGAGCCTGGCTGGTCCCCCTGACTTTTCAATGACAACCTCAGCTGCTGTTGTTCTGATGCTAATGGCCGTCATATGGGAGGGCCAGGACAATGGAGGTTACTCAACACAGGACACCCTACACCCTTCACTAGGGAGTTGGATACCGCATCACAACTCCTGAAGGACTGGTTCCATGTGTCATCTGGATTAGTAGTACTACAGGAATGAATGATGATGACATACTGGAAGATTACGATGGAGAGAAAATAATTGGTCAGTGTTGTCATAGAAAATATGTGCCTTCATTCACAAGTAAAAGTGACGTTATAATAACAATATAGTTCAGCTTAAGGGCAACTCAAAATGGGACGGCCCATTTTTATTATACCGTTAGGCTTCCACATTTCACATTTGATTTGTAAGCAGTATTTCAATTTTCAAGTTTTAATCAATTTCACAGTATACGGGCATGGAAATGTCCTACCTATATTACTGTACAAAACTAGAGGCAAACCCTGGCTCCTGAAACACATGTTAATCTCTTGTACTATATACATTGGACGTGTTGAAATAGCTTTGACAATATATTTTCCCTGTATTCTGCAGCCTAAGCACACGGCGGTCTGACAGAGAGCCTGTGGGATGATCAATCTTGTGAAATCATCAAGTCTTTCTCACAGACTCACTGCTGTGCCCACAAAACAAACAGTAACCACGGAAACAGGTCTGGTCCGAGCTCACTGCACACCAAATATTTCATTTATAATATGATTTTTTTCTACAGAATATTGTCATGATAATTTTCTTTTGGAACATTTGTATAGCATTATGCATTAGTGCACTGTGCAAACTGTGTCACATTTTTGTGTATTTAGAACATAAATTAACCAAATCCAGCCAAAAAGCTAAAGAAGGGATGATTTAAATTAAAGAACATTTTTATTACAGTGTCCCAGGTTATTTGAGTCTATTTTCTGCAATTACAGATTATAGTAGATCTGAACAGTAAGTCCATGCCCCGAGGCCGTTGAGCTGAACAGTGCACTTGTGGAGACACTTCCTCTGTAATCCAGATGCCTCGCCCACAGTAACAGCCTCCACAGAGCCACCAGAGAGACGTGGAGTGTGCCCATACTCCAAAGCCCTGCCACTGGTATGCTCTGTCACTCTATAAAGCCTTTATTGTTCATCCACTGTCTACACTACTCTCTCAACACAGACTTCACACAAATATTTATAATATGCTGTCTATGCTCCAACTTCATTGAATACATACTGACAGGATCACTTAAGGCTGTTCACTTTTGGGGATGATTTGATTTGGCAAAGATTTGAACTTGATTTATTATGATAAAACCGTCATTCTTAGTCACTGACACATGATCATATGAGATCTGGCATGGACAAGGTGGTCCATGCCAGATCTCATATGCCCTCTGATTTCTTACATATTCATTTAGAAAACATGTTTTATGTTGGTACATGTCCTGACAAAGTCCTTCTATTCTAATTTAGGGCTGGTAAAAGATTACATCATTTTTTTTACCCTGGATGAATAGGGTAAAAATTATAATTCAGTATGTTATGTTTTTCACTCTAAATGTGTAGATAATATAAATATGCACCACTGGCACTGACAAACTAAGGTAGCACCCATGTGGATGGCTGTTGTAACATTTAGCGCTGCACTCACCCTGTGGCCGCACTGAGCTGTTGAGCAGGTTTACAGTCCTCCGTCTGGGAATATTCACTCTCAGACTTTCGAGCAGGAACAGGAAACTTCTATAAACAGAGAAGTAAAACAAACACGTGTGGTCATGCTAAAGTAAACAAGCCCCCACCTGGTAAAAGTGCTACCTTCTGGATTTTGGCAAATTCAACGTAACAAAGACCGGGATTTTAATGCTCAAGAGAATTTCCGCAGGTGGATGCCCCTTCCCTCAGCACAGGGTGTGTCCTCATGAGCAAACAGGGTTTAATATTTTACTTGGCTCCATTACTTAAGCTTAAATACAAGATATTGCATTTTTTAATTAAGGAAAACCACTTAACCCCCCCTTCCAAATAGCATAGTGTAATATAAATCAGGTATGAAAAGACGTCATCATGGCTTTGCTATTGTGGATTTCAGTATGAAAATGTGCAGACGGGAAGCTGGTCAGTCACATGCCAATCCCATAGTAGCAATAGGCGTTCACCCTGGTTAGTACATCAAATCACATGATGAATCAGCAACTGCCCAATTATAGTGCAGGAATTATGTAATATCAAGAGACCAAACAGTACATATATAACGGTAGTTATGCTGGAACAGTTGAAGGGTGGTGGTGAGTGACAGTGAGTGGCAAAAATATTCCAATATTTTGCAATCCATCAGAAATAATTTCTTGTTTGGAGAAAATTAAAATTAAAGGAGGTATTTTACATTCATGGAATACTAATTGCTAACACATAACATATTTAGATGATTGTATTACCTTTTATTATTTTGAAAATGCTCGAGCCACGCAATCAGTGTGCCCCATGCTAATGAAACAACTGCACATTTTGTTTTGTCAGGTGGTTGTGTACAGTTCTGTATCATACTTTTATATATAACCGTAAGGAGGGCTCAAATAGGAAAAGATCGATAATTTACTAAAACATGGATGGATAACATCTAAAACTTCTACAGGCATGTTCTTGATGAGGGAAGAACGTTAGAACATGGCAGAAAGCAAAATTATTTGCATATCACTGTATACTATGTGCTGCGTTACTCATTTAAATAATGAAATAAAATTACATATTAATATTCAGTATTATCTTCTTGTCATCCATCATCTATTAAGAGCTTCTCGAGATCTAGAATTTACATTTCCTTCAAGTAAGTTTGGAGAAACATGTCTGACCTGTGTAAAAAGGTCTGCTGAAGGGGAGGACCTGGATCTCTCGTGGTAGCAGGTGCTGCTTCTCTCCTCTGTCTCCTGATCTAGAATATTATCAGCCGATCGGTACCGTCCTGACACCCTCTTTTCTGCCGCCGGTTTCTTCTGGATGCTCCACCTCTCCTCGTACTCTGCAAAAGTGCCAAGCCTTTGATGCTCGGAAACATGCTGAATGTTTACTGTGCCTCCTTGGGTGTCCTCTGGGTAATGTGAAGGAGGTGGAGCTGTTTCTATACTCGCTGCAAAAGACTGTGGCCTGACATCTTTGTGGTTCCTAGCTGTACCGTGAACATAAGTTGATCCACTCTCTGTATCTAGTGAGGAGTCTATATTTTGATCTTCTTTCATTCCAACGTGATGAATTTTGTCAGGTTCAGAGAAGGATCTGACCTTTTTCTCTGCTGAAAACCGTTTACGTCCCCCTATACGAGTGACTTGAACATTGACTGGCCCCGATTTGCTCCGTACAGACTCTGAAACAGGAGGCAAAGATGAGTTCATTTCTTTGCGAACTACAGATGTATAATTTGTAGAAAGCTCTGAAACTGGGTGCTCTACCAAAACTGGCTCAAGGTCTCTTCTCCTAAAAGATGTCGCTTTGAGCACTCGAGCTTGCATTTCCTTCAGATTGTCCTTGTAAGCATTAGAAGTCGGCGTTGCGTTTTCCGATGATTTCCAAACATCTCGGTCTTCAGTCTCCGTTTCATTAGCTGGAAGAGTCGCCGCGCTTTTACTTTTCTGTAGTTTAGCCCTTCTCATTTGGATTTCATTCCTCAACGTTGTGGCGAATCGTTCGTTACGCTGTATGTTCTTACCTTCACCTTGCTCATCCAAGTTCGCGCTAGCATCCATGGACAAAGAGTGGAGTATGGGAGTAGCTTTGGGGCAGATTTTATTATTTACCTGTTGCTTTATATCTTGCTGTGCCGCTGTAGGTTGAACCGGCATTGATCTGCGCTGTTCAGATGTCCTATTAGCAGGATAGCTCATGTAGGGAGTCTCTACATTTGGAGGCGGGATTCCTCTTTCTTCCATAACTTTTGCTTGAGTGGTGTGTTGTGGCATCGGCAGACTATACCTCATTTTCATGACATTTTGCGGGCTGAGACATACGCTGCGCTCACTGGAAGTTGAAATCCTCCTGTCCTCTGCTACAAATGGCTGCTGGACATTGGGATGCATAGACTGGGTTGGTGTAACACAATAGTAACGATTTGAGTTTTCACTGCTTTGCTCTGAAACTGTGGTTGATGAAGAGGTGCTTAAGTTTCGTCTATGACTTTGACTATGAGTGGAACCATTACTTTGAATTTCCTGTGTGTTACTGAAAGGTTTACCAGCAGAGGATGTCCATGGTTGAGGGAAGAAAGTGCTTTTGTCACCATGATGTCCCTGTTGAACATTACTGGAGTGCTGCTTGTTAGCACTAAACTGGCTGTGAACATTTTGACTCAAATTGTCAAAGTCATTTTTCGGGGAGAGATTGTAGCTCCGTCTGTGGTCCATTGCCATTTTACTATGTGTCTCTTGTGGGCCTTCAAAGTGTCCCATACTATGTCCCCTGTCGTGTTGCTTAGTGGCTGCAAAACTGTCACTGCGTGTGGGTGGAGCTGGCGGAGGAGGAGATGGCGATGAGGTCTTTTTGTTCTTTTCCGGGACGTGCCAAACTGGGCCAAAGCTTGAGCGACTTGAGGTGGATACCCTGGAGCCCGCTTGGTCTTCACTGTGTTGACTATCACATCCTGGCATTTGGAAATATGTTACCCTGTCCTCCTGTCTTGCCCCTTCACTTTGTGGATTTCTGTTACTGACATGTTTACCTCCCGTATCCCATTGGTTGACTTTATACAGGACATTTTCTGTTGAGGCAGCGTTGCTTTTGGACAGAGTGTAGTCTGGTGTGCCTGAGCTGGTGGAGAAAGAGCTGTAGGCAGAGTCTCTCTTCCCCCTCCTCCTCCTCCTCCTCCTCCTCCCCCCCCTCCTCCTCCTCCTCCTCCTCCCCCTACGTGCTCCATGCTGTTGTTGGATTTAGCGGGTGTGAGTGGGCTGGCTGGGTAAGGGTGTGGGACATGCTCTAGACTGTCCATGCTGCCCAGGGAGCTGAACTGGTCTGAGACTCTGCGCAAGTTTGTCTGCTCCCAACTGGAGGTGAGGTCAGCTGATGAGGAGCTGAGGGGGAACAAAAACAGCATGTAAGGAATAATGCTGACAGTGATAAAATACACACATACTGTAAAATGATATTTACATTTTGTATTTAACTGAAGGAGAAATAAATATTAACAGAGCAGGAGCACCATAAGCTGAGGATGTATTAATGGGTTTTGAGTAACAGGATATTGATATATCGTATCGTTTAATCTGATGATACGGTAACGATATCATGGGCTGCTGTATCGATATATAGCCAAGCATATCTTTTTGGTATATTTTACAAAATTATTTTGTTACAGCGCTACAGTTTTGTCGCTTGTTCAGAGAAAGGAAACTTGTTCATGCAGCACATTTGACATTTTCACTGTTTTGATGATTAAAATGGGCGTGTTTCATATTCACTTTGCGCAAGAAGTGGCTTGACAAAGACTTTTACTATCATGATTTAGCCTTTATTTTTATTGAACCATATCGAATCGATTTGAAATATATTGTATCGAATCGAAAGTGCACTGTATCGAGATATTTATTGTATTGGCAACTTCTTAATGATACCCAGCCCTAGTTACAGCATACATCATGGTTTGCATTAGCTTGCAACAAAAGTTTAGATGAAGATCTAGGAATTCATGGCAAGATTTGGGTTTGAATGAAGTTACTGTTTGCAGATATAGTTTAGCGGTTTCCTAGTTAATATGTTACAAGTTTTTTATGGAGTTGGAAATTTAGTTTAGTTAAATTATTTCTGAGGAAAAAATATTTTTCTAAAACCACATTTTTCTTGAGTTGTTAGACACACAAACACCTGATCTAGGCCTCTCCAAATTTATGCAATACATTTCAAGGTTTTGCACCATTTAAAATTCTAATCCAGATTGTAAATCTTTAACCCACTGAAATACTGAGTTGACCTGACGAGCCCCAATTTTATAGTCAAACCAATAACTATGTACAAAATTACACTAAATCTCACAGCATTCCACTTCATGGATGCTGTTTTTCAATGTAAGACCAGATGCAAAATTTCATCCTGCAGACTTACCTTGCATCATATCTGGTGTGCCAGACTTGAGAGGGTGGAGACTGTGTTTTGGCTGGCTCTGATTGGTGTTCGTTGAACTTGGTGGAGTGCCAGGAGTGAGGCCTGCTTATGGGTTCATTCCGTCTGCAAAAAAGGCAAAAAACAGAGCTGGGATTAGAGACTCGGCCCTATGGAAAACGCTATGTCCTTCCGCTTATATCTATGCAGCAAAAATGTACTTCAAAAAACTGCATGCATGAAAGATTCTGGTGGTTTAAAATTATGCAACCACAGGCACTGGGAACACAAGCATTTTTGCAGGACAGAAACGTTTGACTGGTTTAAATCTTACCCTTTGAAACGGTGCTTTCTGTGATGCATGTAAAAAATGCATATAGACAACTTCACATGTTTCAAATATTAAGCTTGTATTTAGTACAGAAAATGAAAACGGCATGCTGCACAAATGGGATGAGCACCACAACTAATCACAAAACACTTCTAAAAATATGAAAGCGGGCAATCACAGGGCTATACAATTAACTACTGACATTTATTGCTCCAATCAATTACATGACTATCTAATTAAAAATACAATTAATTTAAATAAGGTTCTCATTTAATCTACAATAGCTTTTCAAATCAAATCACTTTTTCCCATAATTGAGCCGCCCAAGGTAATAAACTCCAGCAGAGGAAAGTTATGCATGGTGAAGTGATGAATGGATATTGTGATACTAAGAGGAGAAGGGGCAGGAGGTTCTATTATGGGATGTGCAATGACATTAACTTGATTATTATGCTACAGATCCATACCTCATTGAACTGCGCAAAATCTTCGTAAGAAAGCTCCTCGCCACATGCACGTCATTCTCAGAGGGCATTTTCTGAGCTACAAAATCCACCATTTTCATTTTCCTGGGCAACAAGGGGGGGAACACAGCACACTAAGAGCTTTGGTACAAACTATGATAACTAAATAAAAGGTAAATACATCGGAAGACAATGTATACTGTTGGTAGCTGATTGTCTTTTGAGATTACACTACACTGCAAACTGATTTACAACTTCTACTGAGTTTACAAGTGGAACCAGCCCCCTCTTGTGGCCACACTGTGCATTACTTTATGGTTATTGGGGTTAAAAAACTTGACCGACATCACTCAGACAACAAAGAGGACATCATTTTGCTCATCAGTCATAAGCTCATGATTTGAAGGGGGCAGAGCGGAGGTGCAGACCTGAGCCATATGGTCCCAGAGGAGAGCACAAAGCCGGCATGGGGCAGGGGGCTTAAGAGAATGAAGAATCTCTTACACAATCAGATCGGCCCAAGCTGTCGTCTGCCCCCTTGTCCTACTGTGTGCGCCATGACGCTCTGAGCTGGCACTAACGCACAAACAAAAGACACTGTTTAACCTTTAACTTGGTACAGACTCAGGATGTGCCAGTTACTGGGCTGGGTCAGGTTTTCAAATACTGTCACTTATGGACCACTGTGTTTAGAGCGACTTAATGTTACAGGAACTTCTGGGCAATTTAATCATTAATGTTTGTTTATAAATGTGCTGGCTTTGAGAGTATAACATAAAAAGTAACTAATTCAGTTTGCTTTGGATTTAGAAGTATATTATCATTATAGTATTAATCTTCACTGTAACCATGGACTGAAATAGGGACTAGTGGGTGGTGGGTTTTAATATTGAAAACTTTTTGGTTTATTTTAATAGGTTTGGAGTGGTATTTTAGAGTAATTAGTCATGATGATTTAAAAAGTATATTATACTTAGAATTAGGACTATTGTTGATTTGAGATGGCGACGGTCTAAAGTAATAGTCTATTATCACTACAACAACTCATTTAAATGTTACTTTGAATACAAATAAGCTGATTTAGGCTTATTTTACTCTACTTACTGTTTACTTGAAGTACTTATTTTTGTCAAGGGTATGTAGACTGACAAACTAAAACATTCCAACAGTGAGAAAGCCTGGACAAAGCTCTCTCTCCTCTCATGGACTGGGGCAGGTCGACAAAGCTGAGGTCATGAGGTCCTGCCCCCTGAGTCACCTCCACAGCCCTGCACTGATCTGCACTCAAGAGGTGAAAACAACCGCTTCCTCTCATCACCACTTTTTACTTCAACTCAACACAATTAGCTCCTATAAAAGACTGCATAGTATATTGTCAAATGATATGTACATTTGCCACTAAATGTTCTGCTGTGCTCTTTAAATAAATTTACACTGGGAAATTAAATATTAAAATTATTATTTTTTCAACAACTAAAGTGGATTATTAGATCAAAACAGTATACTGAAATATTACATATGCTAACATTATTAAAACATTTCTAAAATATGCAGACATCACCTGTTTTTCTCCCATTGTGCAAGTGAAAATCCTTGGTCTACTTTCTAATATTAAACTCTTTTTCTAAACTATATGATGCCTCTGACTGATTTAAGCTGATTAAAAAGTGAAATTTCCACAAAATGACGTGGATTAGAGTATAGGCCTATTTAGGAGACAAAGGGAAGCCAACCCAGAGCCTCGAATCTCGCGTTGTGCCCAGCGAGTCCATGTTTGTGGGGCACTAGAGCTAGCCACACATGGCGCCTGCTATTGGGATGTAAATGAGGCTGGTTTTATTAGGCCTATCGTCCGGGCTACAGCTGGGCCGCCACAGATATGCTCGGAAAGTGAATCAGGCAGATAGGGTGGGGGGCAGGGGCGCACCACTGTTTTCTCTGAGGGATCACTTCAAGGGCCATGTCTTACTTCCAAGTCAGTCTAAAAAATCTGAAAAACATGTGACTAAAAGATAAGATACGTTTAAAATCTGACTTCACTGTTGATAGTTAAGACGGAATGTTACAAAGCATTTATATTTATGACTTTATCGACTATCTAAACTTTATCAACTATCTAAACACCATTGAGATTTAATTATTATTTTATTTTAAATGTGATAAGCTTGTATGTCATTTTGTATTTGTTATAATTTGGTTACATTAATTGTCAGAAGCTGTTTATTATATATTGTAATACAAACCATTGCTTGAAAGATTAATTTGGCTTTGAAATGCTAAATCTTACTCATCATGGCTTAACCTAGATGAAGTCTGACCTCATACTTAATGATAGACAAGACAAAACATTAACAGTATTAGGGTCATAAAATTAGGTAAGCCTCGTGTCTATGTCTCCACCGCTAATCTACACATGTTAGAGCTAGGTGTGGGCACGGTCAAAGAAGACGAGATGAAAGCAAAGCAAAACAACTCACCCAACATCTGGATCAAAGTCTCACATAGATTAAAGGAGGAAAGAGGTAGTCCCAAAGAGCATGGAAAACCTGGACTAGCAATCAATTTGAACCAAAGGAGCCATCCAGTTGTAGGCAGTGGCATTCCCTGCTCACTTCAAAGACGAACCAAAACAAAAAGACATGTTTAGGCCACTGCTGTCCCAAGAACTGTGCATCAACAAGTCCCTGTGTACTGCTGTGTAAGAAAGGTCTACATACTGCTAATACTGCTACCCAAAATCCAACACATCAAGGACTTTTCACAAACTAACTTGGATCAGATTTAGTTGGGGGGAGATTTCCGAGTGGATTACTGAGGTTTTGCCCCTGAAAACGGGGGAGGAAAAGTGCCCAGGAGAAGGAGGAGGGCTATTGTCACGGCCAGTCGCTCCGGAGAGTCCCTGCACCTTGTGGCGTCTCATTGGCTATCGGGGCTAATATGCTAATGATTCCTCTCGTCCGTCTCCTGTTGTGAGAGGGACATGCATTCTTCCATTACTATAGCAACAGGTTGATCTTTAGGGGGGCGGGGCCAGTCGTGTTTCCTGAAAAACTCAATAATGTAATTGACATAAGGGTTTAAGGCAAACTTTATGAGTTAAGATTTTGTGAATAATACATCGTCTACTAGCGCATGTTTAAGCAGAGTCTAAGCAAACTCTGAATGGTTGATATTAGCAAATTATTTAGAAAATGTAATAACCTCAGCCATATGAATCATATATCGTGCTTATTCATGAGTTTCAAAATTTTTTAAAAGTTAGGACAGTTGCCATAGCAATTAACAATTAAAAACAATATTGGATATTCTGAATGGTCAAACAGGAAGCTGAAACGCATAAATAGAAAACAAAATGTAGCCTATTAGGAATTATTATGATCAGGTGTAATTTTAACTGAGTGCATCTTGAGAAATTAAATGAACAAAATGTCTGATACTGATCTGATACTATTCAAAATCGGGTTTGTACTTGTATGTAAAACTCACTTACGTCATACAGGCTCAAATACATTCCTTTGAATGTTGTAACCAAAGCGAAGCTTATTGAAATGTCCAGTGCTGGGTGAAAAGGTCATAACTATCCAAGCACACTCAGACAATGCCGGAGAAGCCTTCCAATAACACCATAAAAAGTCATTTGGAAAACAACATTTTCCCTGACACGTGCGTCCAGGGCCAAACACACTACGTAACTCCTTCAGCTTGAGCCTGGCATTAGTAACAGCCTCCTCACCTGCTGCTCTTAGAACCAAACGTTTGGCACAGTCACAGTAAACAGATTCTCCCTCAGGAAAGGAGTTTTAGCAAGAAAAGACTGAGCTTGTCACAGAAACAGGCATCAGAGCAGGCAAGCCAATTTGCATTAGGAATAGTTGTGATCTACACAGGGTTGTCTTCTGCAAGCTGGTCTATGATGGACCCGTCATAATCTATACCCCTTAAACATGTCTGTATTCTGTACTGCATGGTATACCTTAGCTTAGCTCTTACAATGAGCTTTTCATTGGCCTCTTACAATCAGGCCAGTCATGTTACAGGTGAGTGAGGTGAACCATGAGCACTTTTTAATGACCAGCACATTCCTGAGGTGAGTAACATACCAGCTGTCAAGTCCCTGTCTGCGCTGACCCCTGCCTCACAACAACACCTGGGGCCCCATTGTTTTAAATGTAGACTCGCAAATACATCACTATCACAAGCCAAGAGTTGCATTGTCTTCTCATCCTCTTGCACAAACTTAACTGTAACAACAACAAACATGTCAGACTCAAGGCCCTCAGTAATGATTAAGCAGTCCATAAAAGTCTTGGAGTGACAGGAGTTAATAAATGCAAACTGTTTGAAGAGGTCTCAGAACTGACAAAATGAAAAGATTAAAAAGGAGTTACCTTAGAGTGAGTGGCCCTTTAAAATGATAATTCCTTAACATATAAACATCAATATTTTTAGAGGAAAATGTTCATTGTGCTTCAAAAAAATGTATTCAAGAAAAACTAGAAGAGTCATATCAGCCCATAAAATATACTATAAAATGACAAATATATACGCATATAGTATATTAGGATAAATATTTGAACACATAAACATTGAATAATGCAACTTCTACACAACTAGATGTAAAAGTTGCTCAGATAAACAACACAAATTATACATGTCTTTAATTCATGTGTTACAAAATGATGCCATAGAAGGTGGCAATTTGAAATAATATTTTACCTTTTGAATGGGTAAAAAAATCCTCAAAATGTTGCATATAACAGGAAGTTGATGCCCATGAAAAAATATATAGCAAGACCAAATAGCAGTATCGAATGTCTATGCAAATAACATTTTCATATTTCATCTTCCTCTTCTCACAGGGCCACAAATATCTTATATATATATTTGAGTACATACCTCAAATGCTTAATAAGCCGCCTTCTATGCCAAGTTGCAAAAATATTTAACTTTATTCCCTTCTTCCTGTCAGGACTGGCTTTAATGCCTCACCTTGGTTTTGGAACGGACCAAGTTAAACCACAGGGGTGCATGTTTTACTAATCCATGTTGAAAAAAAAAAACATTGTATCCTTTTTGAGTACGCAACAATTTTAAGAAATCTACTTAGAGCAAGAATTCAGAGCATTGCATTCCAAACATGCTGCGTGGGCTTATTTAGAAAAAACAAAGGACGGTAAACACATGCCCCTCCCTTTGCAAGGCTAAGTTCAACGTTAACACTGCAGGCCATTAAGCTCTACCAGGTATAATTGGATTGTGCATGAACTCTCATAAGAAGAGACCCTCACAAACAGGAGAGTACACAAGCTATGTAGAGTTAGAATGGGCAAAATCCATGTTAGTAAAGTGGGGATGGTGAAGTGTTTTGCCCAAGGATACAACAACAGTATATAAGAATTCATATATGTACACATGGGTTATCTGGCCAACTAACTACTAAACTAACGGTTAAGACTCTGCTAAAAATCATATAATGATCTAATGACACTTATTATGATTAATTATACGATTACACCAAAATCACCTTTCTAAACATTAAAGCAACCATTTTCACACCACATAGACACTTTTGCATCATATGTTTGGAAACTTAAAAACTTATCCAACTGAATATTTAATTTAAAGCATAATATGATTATTAAAATAATTCATATTCTAAAATGTTAAAGTTAAAGGCTGTAGTACTTCTCTCTGCCAGAAGGGGGAAACCACAAGCTTCCAGCAAAGTTAAAGTAGCAGTTTATTGAAGTATGAGAAAAAAGAAAAGCATGTTGCTATAACAGCCTCAGCCTGAATCAATACGCCATTAATAAGACTTTGCATATATCTGTTTACATTTTATCCTTGGTTCACTTTCTGAAATATTATCATAAAAATGTAGAATAAAGTTAAGTGCCAAATGTGTACATTTTAAAAGAATAGGAGAGTTTTGTCTAGACATGCAAAGAATAAATTAGTTTTGACAGGATGAATTCCCACACAAAGCCACACCTTTTGGGCTGCTGTGACGTGTAGCTGGCCTCACCCCTCTCACCCTCGCGGTGGTGACATAGACCAACTATTTCTCATTACTCACCCCATGCAAACGACAGGTGAAACTCCACCCCCTTCCAATGGGGAAGAGGACAAACCTTTACATAGTGGCAGGTCGTGACAGCTTCCTGATTACAGCACTATCCAAAGTAAATGCATGCTGCACTTTGCCTACATTCACCGACAAAGTATTAACAAACAAGGTGGATGTGTCTCTAGTCTTATGAGTCAATATGTCCAAGTATAGAGTTATAGTGGTTGAATAATAATCTAGTGTCACAACACACTGTCTCCTAAATCAGGCACTAACTTGTGATTGTGGGCAAGAAATGACTAAGCTGTTGATGCTATTTGAGATGAACACAACAAACTAAATTCCTTAACTTAAGCAGAAACTCACTAATGTCCCATGGCACATTTCGAACAAAAACCTTGCCTTTTAAGGTGAGCGTTTCCAATAAATGCTGAAAAATGACAATACACAGATACTTTGCCTGCAGCCTTTAAGAAAGTTTATCTGCATGTTTTATGATAATCAAATGGACTTAGAGATTGCTGTTACAAACAATTCTGTGTCCCAATTTTCCCAGGCCTATTAGGAAGAATACACAATGTGTGAATAACAGGCTTGTCCTTGTAAAAAGATAAATGGTGGGCTGACTTCCTTGTACGGTACGATGTGTTTAGGGATTACGTTATGATATGATACAATACAGAGAGAGAGAAGTGCACAGCTAGAGGAGACAATGAGCTCAGTGTTCACAAACAGGGCCATTTGTAGTATGTCTCCCAGAGCTGGTTTGACAAATGATTCATCAATTCAACATGATATGAATACTCAACAATATAGTGGAGAGGATAAGCCATGCAGCTGCCTCTGATAAAAAAAAAAAAGACTCAATGTAATCATTATTGTGGCTGACAGAGCTACTGGTGAACTGGATACAAAGCAAACAGCAGCTCTTATCAGAGGGAGTGTGACAAACTAACACAGGTCCCAGTGCCCGAGTGTGACCTGTGCGTCATCACTCCTGCTGCCCGCCCACACCTGCCTAGTGGACCTAATACAAGTATGACATCACCTCTCACACGCTCTCTCCTTTCACTCCAAACTGTTACAAACGATGAACTATGGGTGACTGGAGCTCTGAGGAGCAGGCAGAACAGGACCATCCGGCTGACAGCAGAGAGTGGCGAAAGGGAAGCACACAGCGGCCCTCACACAGGCAGCTGCAAAAAGGACCCACTTGTGTGTTGTTGTGGTCTGTTGCCATAGTAACATAATGGGAGGGACCCTGACAGGCGCAGATGCAATGTGCCTGGTTACCTACCTCTTCACTACCAGGCTGAGCGTCTTGTGGGAGCCTTTGACAAGGCAGATCGCCTCCTGTCTGTAGCCACTCAGGGGAATCTCATTGATGTTGACGAGTTCGTCTGCCACCTGGAGACCCACGGCCGCGGCCTTACTGCCCTCCTCCACCTGTGATGTACACACAAGGGTCAGTATTTAAATAGACATGATAAAAAATAAATAAATAAACTACTACATTTACATTTAACCAACTAAATCAAGCACTATTCCCAACATGTACATGTTCCTCCACTGTGAGGCTGAATACGGTTACTCAGTTTGTTTAGACATTCTGTGTCTTATTACTCACCCCTAATAATCAACAATGATTTTTTTGGTTCCAGTTTAGACACCTTTTAACCACAAAAATGCAAATTATACAACTGTAATATAAGGCTTGCCTTGTCCCATTATACTCAATCACTACTATTACAAACAATTAATACACAAGAGAACACTATAACTTCACACTCTCTGCAAACCCGACCCGCTGTTTTCCACACTCTCTCTTAATAATGACAGACATAATGAATTACACATAAAACCAAACAAATCAGGTGAGCATTGTGCCTGTAAGAAAAACAGATTTTATGATGTGACAATGACTACAGCAACACAGTGTTTGAAAGTGAACAGCAGGTAAAGCATGTTCTTTGGTCGGCCCCAGAACCTATAAAACACTTCAAACACTGCTGTTCAGGCCAGTGGCATGAAACAAAGCGTATCATGTTTGCCTTTAAGCCCACACCTGGAATAACATCTGTCAGAGGGACGTGCAGGCAGCTGAGCGGACAATGAACACCCACAGCTCCAGCAAGTGGAACTTTGGAGGGAAGTTTAGACATACATGACTGTAGCGCTGCTTACACTGGTCAAATTGTGACAAAATCAGTACAGAACTGAATGAGAACTAAAACAAAGCTATAAAAGAGCTATCTGAATTTTTTTGCTTTCTCTTACATAACTAATGTCCATGTTAAGAACTTGTGCAGCCTGCCCTTGGTGTGACATCAGTCTGCCAAGGGCATACAGATAAAAATTAACCTTCATGCCCTACTAAAGGCAACTTTTCTGCTAATAGGCTCACTTCTCAAAAGAGCTGACCTGTAACATAACCTGGTCCACTGCTTGTCTCCATGAGGATGGATATGTTTAAAACTACCACCAATTAGATTGGCTGATCCGGCCCTGTTGTATTCTCACATATCACCACTAGATGCCGTCTGCATTACTGCAGTCTGAGTGTGCAGCTTTGGTCCAACAGAAGACCACAGAGCACAGGTGAGCCTGAACAAAGGCCAGGTGAGGGGAAGGGGGAACAGGTTTCAGATTCCACATCTATTGGTTTAAAAAACAAACAAACAAAAAAAAAAACAATGGTGATAAACTTGGTAACTTTAATGCTACACAATGGAATATTACAGATAAAGCCACTGAGACACAATTTACATGGAGCCTCTTTATAAACTATTTAAAAGTATTTCTACAGTATAGTATTTAAAGATGAAAATTTTCTCTTTTTGAATAAATGTTGACAGGGTGCATGTTGACAAATATGCATTGTTCAATGAAAAGATAAAACAATTAAATGTTTTTAATGTAAGAAAAAAATCTAAATCTGTCAGAAAGAACCAATTAACATTATAATAACAGCCGTGTAATGTAAACTACATAGGTTTACAATATAGAGGAAATGATATATGAAACAATACAGACTCATTGGTGTCAAATATAGCCCAAATAAAGTTTTTGTGCACACTGACCAAAAGCGTCTGATATGAGAGGCTCCCTGTGGAAAGAGGGAACAGAGCGGGCACTTGGCACATTAGCACACACGCTCTGCAGAAGACTATCAGTCCTCCAACTCTAACCTGTGAGTTTTGAAAGAGAAAGAAGGGGGGTTGCTGCATGACTCAGCCCCGAAGTATGTGTACATTTACGTCTTATATGGCCTTCTCTATCCTCCAAACACAGAGGCCAGATAGTGCTAATCACAACTTCTTTTCATTACTCCAGAATGGGAGATTTTGAAGCCGGGACCGCACTGACTGAGGAATTTGGTGCACCCTGGCGAGGTTCCTGAGATGTTCCTGATATGGTAGTGTTTTGTAGAGAAAAGGTCGACAATGTAGCCTTCTCCAAACCTCCATCAAGGAAACGGCTCCTTAGCAAGAAAGCATTTAAACAATGTAAAGAAAAACATTTAGCAGAGACAGGCCCATGTATAGCAATAAGGTAAAGGCAAAAATTACAATCACGATTTGATTTTTGGACAAAGGATAACATGGATGAAAGTGGGACTAAATGTCTTCTGTCCGTAATAGTGACATTTTGTTCCTCCTGTGAAGACCAGTCAGCTTGAGTCATAGCAGGTCTTTTGTTTACTCCTTCCTTCAGGCAGTAATCATGCCCGCTCCAGCCATCATCCTGCCTCTTCAGTAAATAGCCTGCTCCTCAGAGACAGGACACTAAAGGGAAGGATGTGGCATTGATGGGGGCATGGATGGCTCTTTTCTGCTGACAGACGTCCTTCACACTGCTCTAACAGGGCATCAAAACAACAGCTTACTCACACTGCTCTATCATAAGTGATGCTAAAAGTAGCCACAGTGAAAACAACCAGGGCTTCTCAAAACAAACACTGTATTGACACATTATTAAAAAAGAGCTGAACCTGACTTTTACGGCTTTCAAATGTGAAAAACAGAGCTAGATCATTTTAAACGGTTTACAGGTGTAAAGTTATTCCTCACGTTCCTAACTTATTCATAGCATTGTAATTATTCATAGCAATAAGCTTCTCACAACTTTCAAAAAGCCAGAGTGGAGTTTCACAGTTGCGTTAGCATGCTAGTTGTTGTTAACAGTGCACAAGCATTACTTCCTTGTTTGGGGACAAAAAACAAAACAAAAAAATCCACATTTAATTAAATGCAAACAGCACACAGCCAGACTTCAAGAGAGGCTTTTACAGTATGTACCACAAAATAATTTTACTTTATTGCATGAAAAAAAAAACCCATCATTTTCCCCCTTGACTACTTTCATTAAAGATCAGATGCAATAGTGCATTAAATGTCTTCTACATTCTACAGAAAATATTTGGACATCTGGGAAACTAAGTGCTACACCACGAATAGACTACTGAACTAAACTGAGGCTAAACCAGGACTGATGGAACTTGCCTAAACTTCCAACCACAGGAACATATTTTTAAGTTTAGAACCCGGAGTACCTCCAGACGTTTGAGAACTGCTCTGCCTTTTCACTGTATATGGCTGTTGTTTACTCAGCCATGGGACTGCAGTGTTGAAGGAACTGGTGTGTGCCATAAAGATAACACTACAATATGTCACCCCCCCTTTACCCCTATGTCCTGTCTGAGGCTCTCTGACCTCTGGCATGAGGTGGAGACACCAAAAAGTAATAACAACAGCTACTGTAAAGTTGCATTTCTCCCATCTGCTTATCCCATATTTCCTATTCATTTGTGTTGGCCTATATAAATGTATATGACATCCAAAATGTCCTTAAAATAACAGTATTTAGACTGACATTGTTCAAGCCGAGTTTACTCATTGTTCCCTCATTTCTGGTGGCATGTATTCAAGAGGATGACCCTCCACACCGTAAATTCACTTGGAACAATAAAACTATGTGTGGGCATCTGGAGGAAGCAGGAAGCAGGCTCACAAAAGAGAGTATTAAGGTGCAATTTGGATTTGGCAAAAGACAAGAATTTTCATATTAGAGGCAGGATGTTGCATAATTTTGTAGGAAGAATATTTTTAATTGAAGCATGATTATTTAAAATGGTCAGTGTTTAGCTTGGGGCTTTTGTTGTGACAGCTCGGTCCTGTGGTTTAGAGCAGATTTCAGACTTTTTAAGGAATAAATTGGATGTTGTTGCGTTAAATGGCAATAAAGTTTAAATCATTTATGTGTTGTTGCTTTTTAATCTGAAGTTAATAAAAAAAAAAAAATATATATATATATATATATATATATATATATATATATATATATATATATATATATATATATATATATATATATATATATATATATATATATATATAGATCAGTGCAAAGAACCCTAGGGCATAACTGTCAAACTGTAAGATTTCTTGCTGTTAGTTTAGTATGTTAAAAAGCAATGGGGCTTAGACATATAACCATGTTTAACCAAGAGTAGGTTATAATTGAGAAAAGATGTGTGTACCTGCAGGTTATCCATCATAGCATTGCATTGAGAACAAGTTTTCTTTCGTAGCCAAAAATATTTTTCTTCCATATAAACCGTTATTCTGGCAAAGGGACTTGTGCTGGAGGTGCATGCCCAGCTGTGTTGTGTAAAAGTGGATTATTTTAGTTTATTGAAACTAAGACGTTTAAATCCATGAAGACCTTGAATATAACCTGTGCTATGACAGGAATGTGCGGAATTTTAATTAGATCCAGGATATTTTTTAACCAATCCCCCTAAACCGCTCATCAAACCAAGGGGACATTTTATTATTGTTCATTTTAGCAATCTGTAAACATGCATTGTGACAACAGCATGGGTTCAACATTGTGTTGGCTCTACAAGACCGGCAAGAGTAATACAGGACAAAAAGGCATATGAGAACTCTACAAGATCAACTTAAAAAATAAAGAAAATACAATGAATTATTATTTATTTGTGTTTCAGTGTGCAGCTGGGTCAAATCCCTAACATAGCAGTAGCCTATGTCCACTGCTATACATTAGATCCTGGGCAAACAAAGGATGTATGTACAAACTGTCCACTGACCCAGTAAAGATACATGCCATTAGAACTACACATGTGGCTGTAGATGTGGCTGTAGGGCTTCTTCTGGAGTTACTTATATATAGTTACAGAAATATGCATCATACAAGAGTCAGGACAGGCTCTACAATGTAATAATGTAGTACAAGTGCTGTGGGTCGAGTCATCCAGCATCCAACATTTGATATACATTCAAAATCATTCTAAGTGTTGTTACAGTTATTTAAAAATCTGATTCTTTTTGTTTTACTTTAGCCATCCTTGCTAAATAAAGCTTTAGTAAAGATTGTGCATATTTGGGCAGGCAGACACATTGCCAAATCATCCAACTATCGCGGGTGTACATCATATATTTGATCCAAGCAGAGCAGCGTGAAGACATGCTCCAAGTGCCGTTATCATTTTCATTACATTTCTAGATGACAAATTACAGCTCTTTCTTGCATCTTTATCTAATAAGTCCAAATAACTCATCATATTATCAGTGGCTTCATTAAGTAGGATGCCCCAAAAGATCACAAATCACAAATTCAGACTTCACTGATCCTGTCGTGCCATTCCAACAGGCTTCAAGTTGTCAGGTAACTCTACATTTACAAAACTTTAACTTATCTTCAGAATTTCTGCAGTCCTTGATGCCAGATATACTGGACTAAAATAAACAAACATCAAAACTGAATTGGCACAAAAGAAGGACAAGAGAAGTATAAACATGTTCATAATCAAGGCTGAAAGGAGAAAACAAAGCCAGGAAAAAAAAATACAGGAGTAAACCAGGATTAAAACCAACAGGATCTGCACTAATATGATACAATAATATTTGGTCTAACAAGGTAAAAGAATAAGGTTTTCACTCAACATAAACAAACTATTAAAAAACAAGACAGCTCTGGCACAGTGCACACCAGATTGTGAGTCCAAGTGAATGTAAAAGGTGTGATTTCATAACATTTCACCACAGCCAGTGTGGCGGCAGATAATTCTCAGGCATGTTAAGTTAGCTTGACCAATATGTTAAGCCCAAACCATGACCAATTTGACTTATATGACTGACGCACTACGGGGGGTTGAGCAACTCTAAAATATTAACATATATCTGACTCATAAAGCCCAAAAGGTCAACAAGACAAGGTGGTGGAATCACTTTTGTTTGTGCTGCCAAATGACATAATATACAAAAAAAAGCTATTATTTATTGATTTAAAAGGAACTAAACAAGAGGCAAGGTCAAAGACTAATGCAAGGTCTTTAGCTTTAGTTATAACTGCTCATCTAAAACAAGTTTTCACATCACATCACAAAAACATTTTCAATTTAAGGATATATTTTTATATTTTAACCTGGATTTAGTTAAATTAAAGCAATTTTATTCAAAAAGAACACAAAGAATGTGTCCTCTGTCCCTGATCCTAGACACAAAGCATATTTTAGAAAGTATTTTCCACTGAACACTACAATTCTTGGAAAACTACAGTTATATATGACATTTTGAAGAATGATCAACTCACCATTTGATACATGGGGTCCACCTTGTTTGATGAGTAAGAAAACATTAACAGTATTAAGAGTCAATGCCCAACCATGGCACAGTAGTCTTCTTTGCTAGGAAATCCCGTAACTTAAATAAATTGCAGAAAATAGTAAAAATGTAAGCCTTTTGTCCTGTAACCAGAATTAGAGCATGTAGTAGAGAACTGCATCACCCGAAACTGTGTAGCATGTCCTAATACAAGTTTCACCCCTTCCTCAGCTGGACTTTGAACCCAGTAGGTCAACACACACAATTAACGGTTGAGAATCAAAAAGGCAAACAGTTCCCGACCAACAGGGGCTAGTGATTTCCCCACATCAGATTAACCAGCAGCAAGGTCCTTAGTAAATGATTATACAGGCCAGAAAGACGTGAGGTGACAGTGTGATTTTAGTGCTGATTGTGGCGATAGGAATGGCCTACATTAGGAAGTACAGCCAACTCCTAAACAAGGTCAATGTTGATCCAGTAGGAAAGGCCTAAAATTACACATTAAGAACTAAATACCGCTATAAGGAGAACATAGTTGGATAAGAATATACAGTGATTGGTGACAATTAATAAACAAACTTAATATATGAATAATTGAACTAAAGCAGTAACATGAGGTATATTTGGGTGGGCACTTGGTAAAACTTTTCCACCATGACCAACAACTAATAAATAATACAAATCTAGATAGTTCCTTAACAAATGACAATTAACACAATTACATATAACTTGTTTTGGACCACAGACAGCTGGAGGAAATAAACTAAAGCCCCAAGGTGAAACTAAATAAAGTTATTCCAAATGGCCAGTCTGCGAAGGGATGTATAAAACATTGCAGGGTTTTGTTTGAGCATTCACACCTTGTTAAAGAAATCCGTCAATAAATGCAATGACGCAAACTGGGAATTATTGTCTAAAAATATATTTTATAAGCATCATGCGAGTAGAATTGTAAAATGCTTAGGTTATGGCATATGGAAGCTGATTAATACTTTACGTGTAAACCAGGATATTCTGTTATTATGTTTTTATGACTGAATGCCTGCAAAACTATGTAATGACTACTACTAAATACCTTGCTTGATTACCATTGTTGCAAGGTAGTACTTTCCCTAAAGCTTTTCGTGGCTGGAATGAATATCTTTCGTATATCTGTATTGTATGCAAGTTCATCCACAAACAGGTAAAATATTAAGCTGCGTTATATAAACACAGTGAAGCCAAGAAGAATCAGTTTCGATTAATTTATCAAGTAAAAGTCAAACAATAACTGAGCTAAAGCTGAAAATTAATGGGTTGCAAACAAAGCAGAAGAAACTCTCATTTGATGATTCAGTTATGAGAGTTTTTTTTTTCGCCAACCTGAAAGTTGGCAGTTCAACCCTCACAACAAAACATATACTTTTGTGTTGTGTTCCAACTCAGATTACCTCCATAAAAGTGTACGTGTAAGCAAATTGATGAATGGTTCTTTGGTGTAAAGAGCTCTGAGTGTCCAGTGGAGGCAGAAAATCAACATAGATGTAAATATGAGTCATTTATAAAACAAACTGTACATGTTTACAGATCTGATCACTAACAAATACATATTCAGCTACTTCACTTGAGCCCAGCCCATGTTACCTTTGTTATGACCAGAGGTTCTCGGTGTTCCAGTCCTCCTCTCAGCGTAAATCCCCATGGTGCTCCTCCAGTTAGAAAAGCCTCCACAAGCCTGAAGCCTTCTCCATCTCTGCCTCGCACTTCCACATCCTCTGACCTGTGCATCACATGCCACACGGTCTCCGCTTCACCGAAATGCCCTTCACTTCTGTATCCCGCAGCATCCATGGCACTGCACAAGTATACAGTACAGATTCATTAGTTTAATGGGTTCTTTTAGTTTTAGACACAATTGTGTTCAATCATTGACAATAGAATGAGGTCTGCCAGATTGTTACATTTACCTAAAGCAAACTTGAAGACAAATTTATTCAATATTAAAATGAATGACATGCTGTATAAAGTTACTATCCTCAACTGTCAGCAGCCTGCTCTCTTATAGATTGGGTTAACTTGGCACCTTTACAATAAACAACATGCAAATGTAAACTGCATTACATAATCAAAAAGAACATTAGTGATACTAGTGACATCACCTAAAGTGGGAAAACATAACCAATTTCATTTGAGAAGATTTGACAGTTTTTGTTGAAAATGCAAGACTATGTTACCAAGTGAGCATGAGATTTAGCAGATTTGGTTATCACCAGTTTTGACAAGGGCAGTATTCTCAGTAATGATCGACGCGGACATTTTGAATACTTCATATGAAATATAAACTGGTTTTTAGTTTAGTTTAGAAACATGATGCTTTTGTTCGATGTTTACAGAGAGAATAACACACCCAAATACCGCATGAACTTCAACAGCTCAAACACCTGTTGTTATCGAAAAGGTGAATAAAACTTTTTATGACCCAGCCTTTGACAGAAGTAGCCGGAGAACTATTGGTGAGAACAATAGAAACCATCTTCTTCCCCGTGGATCAAGCCTTTAGACTGAGCTGAGTCAGGGAGAGCTGAATTAAATGTAGCTTATCCCGTAGTCCCTAAACAAACGCGCACTTTACAATGAGTTTGAACTGCCTTCTGAGACATGTGAAACTTCAGTGAAATCAATTAAAAAAAACCTCCTCAAAGTGGACTTAGAGTAGATCTTACCTGGGAATTGAACTGAAGAAGAAACCGGCGAACACGATCCTTTCATCGGACTGGCACGCAGAGCTATCTCCCTCCCGGGTTTAGGTTACGCACTCCTCATCTTTTTTAACCGATTCAGCTGTCAAAGAAACCAGCATTTAATAGTTCCCAACTTCTGTGACAGTCTTTGTACAGCCGCTGCTCCTGAAATCCCACAGATAATATGGTCCCCGCAGTTCCACTGGTAAATGCCTGATGATACAACCCGACAACGACACACCACAACCCTCAAGAGAGTTTAAATTGGCTAAGCTAGCCTAGCTCCATCCTTGGACAACAGGGATCAGTCCATTTACAAACAGCGCAAGTGTGCCATCTACTGTTAGCTTCAAACTAAAGTTACATGACACCCAACATGTGTCTGCGTTTCATCTCCGGAAGTATATCAAGTAATTACATGACGATAAATGATTCCCCCTTATCTAAACTTTCTAGATCGCGTTAAATTAAATAAAACATTATAGTTAGGACTTTTTTTTTTACGGCTAGTTATCTAAAAGCTAAATGCTAAAAGCGAGCGCGTTCTTCACCATGACAACCACCGAACGTACGGAAAAGCAGAAGGACCAAAGTGTATTATTTTGCGGAAGTGGGTTGTGTTGTGGCAAAACGTCACCAGTTTTTAGTTATTGTAGCTAACACTTCTTTTAAAAGTTATTTGACCGTGATTTATTGAGCATGTTTAATAAACTGGGAAGTTGGCTTGGTATACAAGAGCAAAATGGGCAAAATAATCAAGAAACAGAGAGTTCTAATGATGATAATGGCGACAACATTGAGGTAAACAACCTATCAGACAATCAACAGATGAGTGGTGACCAAGTCCAACTTTTACCAGAGGCCAAAGGTTTTAGCGGTGAGTAATGCATTAATAATGTACTTTTATGTAACATTCAAGTTTACATATTTTAAAGATCATCTCCATGGGTTTTCTGCAGGTTACATTTATAATATTGCTAGCAGTGCCAGCAAGAAATTATCAAAGTCTGTTGTGGGAACTGCACAATCTTTAAAGAAAAGTGTTGAGGATGGAAATATTAACAAAATTTTTGATAAAGTAAGTTATCTGCCCTATTTTTAAGTTTTAGAATCTGTTTACTTGTTACTCTAACTCAAATGCATAACCATATTTTCATTCAGACAATATTAGGTGACTTTCAGAAAGAACAAGAAAAGTTTGTTCAGGAGAAAAGAGCCAAGCAGTGCAGTAAGTACAAATATTTTCTGCTTATACCCTAAGAATTTTTTAAAGAATTATTTTAATTGCTTTAGCTGGTGCTGTCCCTCCCTGGGTTGGGTATAACGATGAGGACAGTGTACAGCAACAGATTTTGTCTCTCTCTATCGTACGTTTTGTATTTCATAATTCTTCGACAATTGTATATCTGTGTAATAACATTATAATTATTTTTTCATTGACAGGACCAGAGGAATTTTCTGAGGGACCCTCCTGCCGGGGTAAACTTTAATTTTGACTTTGAACAAGTGTATCCTGTTGCCATGGTGATGCTAGAGGAGGACGAGCTGCTCAGGAAAATGCGATTTCATCTCGTCCCCAAACAGTGAGCACAGAGTTATGTTTATTCTTCTTCTTGTGATTTTTTAGATTATGTCTAAACTACTGTCCCTTTGAAGAAATAACAGATGACATTTGAATACAATGGGGTGTAATTAATTTTGCTTATTAATCAAAGTCTGTGAACATAAACCATGTGTTCTTTAGATTAAAAGAAGAGGTTTTCTGGAGGAATTATTTCTACCGAGTCTCATTGATAAAACAGTCAGCTCAGCTCACAGTGCTGGCAACACAACGGGCTCCAGATAGGGAGAAGACTGGCAAAGATACCTCAGTGAATGAACAAGACCAAGGTAAGATATTCTACTGCAATAATGAAATACTTTTTTTTTTTTTTTAAATTCTTGTTGGATTTATATAAGTGCTTCTTTAACATTCTTCTGTACTGTCTCCAAAATTGCTTGTCTTCTATAAGGTATCAGGTTATAGTCAAGGATAGTAGAATTTAAGTGTTTAATTCAAATTTACAGCTACCCAAACACATATGTGACATGTAAAATAGAAATGAACAGTAAAACTAAAATGGTAATAAATTGTGTGCCCTCAAACCACCTCAGACCGAAAGGAAAATGAAACAACCAAGTGTGACCCTAGTGGGAATAAGCAAAAATACTAAGAAATTAATCATTATGAAAAATATGGTTGACTCCTCAATACTCAATACATAACATAATATGAACTTTTACCACTATTTTCAGACTAATGATTTATGCTTTCCGTGCCTTATAAGTTATGTACATTCTAAAAGCAAGCCTGTAAAACTGTCTTCTTCAACTACAATGTTCCAGATGCTGCCCAGAAAAAGCCTCCCTCTGCCGACTCTCCTGCAGCAGAGACAGCTGAGGTAAAGCACCTGTGGCTCTGATTTATCTGAACATAAACGACACACGTAAATGGAGAAGCCTGCGTTTTTATTATAAACACAACAGTTTGTTTTAACCCCTGTCTCCTCCCTGTTTTAAAGGAGGAGATCTGCGCCAGCTCTCCTGTCCCAGAGTTTGTGAGCGATGCTTTCCACTCATGCAACTTAAATGAGGACGACCTACGCAAAGAGATGCAACAGCTGGTACTCGGTAAGAAGGAAAACACATCCATTAGTTAAATTAAATTCATCTTGTTAAAAAAAGATCAGATTACACCAAAGGCATTGTTTTTGGTCTGCTTTGTATTAACTACTTTGGGAAAATAATCAAACCTGAATACAGTTACTTCTCGCAACAAAACATCGATAAATAAATGATGAAGTAAAGGGTCAAAAATCCAAATGGCTGATGCGTGTATGAGTGGAACACTGGCCTATATACTCATAAAAATGTCTGTAGTTGCCAGAACACACCACATACTGCATACATAGGACTCCATACAAAGTAAATGATGTAATGGACATGGGAGAGTGGTTGCTGTTATGCTTTGACACTTTCTTCCATTGTCTAACTAAATTTTGTGTGTGTGTGTGCTGTTAAAGCTGAGACTCCAGACTGGGAGATCGAGCTGCAGGAGGAGCTTCAGGATTTGGATGTTTTGGCTGAAAACCAGGATTACCACTGGGAACAAGAGATTGAGATGATGCTGAAAGAAGACAGTTAGGTCAAACTCAGGCTACACACGGTATTACTCACCAATGGACGGGGATGTAACTGTGCAATAATATGATATTATATTATAATATCATTATAATTGTGATATATATAATATATGTGACCCAATAACCAACATGTGTAACTACATGTCCAACTGGAGATGTTCAAAATGTTACAGAAATGTATTTTTAGAATCACAACTGGAGGCAAATATAAAGCAAATGTCTACCATCAAAATACCAAAGATATTTTAAACAACAATTCAATTTACACATGTAAACTACTGTATGGCAAGCTATGTAAGCAGCATTTTACCATTGTTACATTACTTCCAGTGCTTTATATCAGTGCAATACCTGTCCAGTACTTTTAATTACTGTTTTTATATCTCAAAGGTTCTGAGTCCAACTTTTATCATGAACATAATTGATGCCTTGTCGAACAATGCATGCAGGATTGTAAAGGTTTTCTAGTTTTTAGTGTTACTGTGAATTATGGCAATACAAGTGAACCTTTTTGAAACTGACTAGTATTTATGGATGTACTGCTACAAGTACAAGAGTTACTTCTTTTCTGTCGATTTGTTGAAACCATTTGTGCCTTACTGTCTGCTGCTCAGTCAAGAATAAAAATGATGTTGTTATGACAAACTGCATACTGGTCCTTTAGTTTGATCTGAAAAAAAGACAACACATGCTCAACACATGAAATGAAGAAGCAGCTTGGATGAGCTGTGAAACATATTCGATCAAAAACGTTTGTCCAGTTGACAGAATTGAATTTCTGCTTTGCTATGAATCCTATCTGGACGAATGAGGGATTACACTAACACGTGCTCATTATCTGAATAAGGGTGAAGGATTTTGAGTTACTAGTACTTTGTCTGCCTTTTTAATGACTCAGACAACATTGTTAATACCATTAATACCGAAGTATCTGGCTAAAAGTTACTACACTACAAAGATAAGAAAAAAAAGACTAGAAAAAAATTGAACATCTTTTTATTCACTATACCACTTGAGTCTATTTCCTGTGGATTCTTTCCTGTGTGGTCATTGCAATGTAGAATGAGGGGAAACCAGCTGCTGTGGCATCAAAGACTACTTTATTTTTATTGCTGAAGTCCACAAATAAATTTCTTCCTGTCTTTGTTCAAACTCGTAACAGAAAAGTTTACATAAAATTCCTGTGACGTGATTCATGGGGTGAAGTGTTCAATAATAGTCAGTAAACAAAACATTATAAAAACAAATCTGCTGTGATAAATGCAATAGAAATAAGCCAGTTGAATCAGTGTGAAATGTATTGTATGCTGCAAGTGTACAAATAACCTTATATTGGCACGTTTGTTTCCATTTTTTTCTTACCAACAGCATTGCGACACCTTTTTCTTAAATTCTTTCACATTCTCATACATTTTTGCCTTCCCATTTTATCTGTGTCTATAAATTCCTGTGTTGAACAAAATACAGTTCTATAGGGTTCAGATTTCTACTTGTAAACTGATAAATATGTGAATATAAGATACAGTATGCAGAATAAAGTCTTGGCCATTTCACAGTTGTTTTATTCCTAACACCATCATTCACATAAATACAATGACAAAATTAAAAATGAAATAAAATAACACAAATCTTTGGTACATTTGAATGTAACACTGGCCCAAGAAGAAATCCTGAAATAAGCCCACATTTTTTCAGATCTCACATGGCAACAATAACAACTTACTCATTAACTGCTAACTAATATGAAATGCTTAATGATGCTACACTGTAAGATATGTAGAAAACACAAGTGCAGAGGAAACAATGCCAGTCTTGTTTAGTGTGAGTTTGAAGTTCAGTGGCTTAGAGCTACATACAGCAGACTGTGGCCAATGTGGTAGATGTAAAAATGAAGTTTATGTGAGTCCAATCTCCTCCAGGACACTGCGTGGGGTCTCTGCTTCCTGTGAGCACAGAGGAGAGGAGAGAGAGGGATAACATAGCATCTGAAAAATGCAACATTATAAATAAAAGCATTCAAAGTTTAAAATATTAACAGTGGTTTCCCTTATCCTCTAATCGTGCCAAAAGGTCCTATATTACGCTAAATTCACTTGTTAGCTTTTTAACCAGCTTTTAACCGTGTTATAATGTTACCTCCTCAAAAACATACCTGGAGTTGTGTTTTGTTTCATTCACAGGTTTAATTAACCTTTATTATTTAGGCTGTCTACATCTCCAAAGCTCAAAATGCTCTGTTCCACATTGTGATGTCAGTGTCAGATGTGGTGGTATTTTATTATAATTTTTTTTGTTAGACCAAAATTTGCAGGGTTTGTGTGTTAAAACAAAGCACAACTCCAGGTATGTTTTTGATGAGGAAACAACATTATAACATATATTAGAAAATAGCGTAACATGGGCCCATAGTGCAGTGTGAGTGCAGGTTTTAATACATTTTAAAGTATTAAAATTATGTTAGTGTATCTGTGAAATGCATAATGCATAAACAAAATTTGGTGTTACAAGCTGTTTTTGTAGATGTTATTGAAAGTTTTGTCATATTGTCTTTTATAATTGACTATAAACACTGCTTCCATTGTGATCCCAAATTCTATTGTGTTGATGAGGTGAATGGGTGCAGCAGGCCTCACTGACCTGTAAAATGTTATCTATGAGGAATTTAGCAGGGAACTTTTCAAAACACAACAAAAAAGCGAATGGGACATGTAAATGCAAAACAACACTGACAGAATATTGTTTTATCATGCACAAATTAAAAACACATTTTAATTAGTATCATTTACATACTTAATTATATATTGATTGCACAACTTATTTTTTTCTGAATGGACAAAGTAGTGTTTTTTCATTTGTGGAAGCATGATGACACAAAGAGACAGTGATTCCCACATGTTTAGAAAAGACTATGGCAGCACTGAGGACCATTCACTAAATAATTCATATCAAATACAACATAAAAAATGTTAGAGCCTCAAATGAATGGTAACTCTTACTTCTCACCTTTTTGTATACTTTAAATGAATTTCCTTCAGGATAATAAAGTATTATCTATCTACTGGTACCTATCTATTTAGGATACAGGGGGAAGAAATTACATAGGGGCATCCAAAGTCTTCTCTATTAATGGGAAATACTGGAGAAACCAAGAGACAATGAAAATTACATGGACAATAAAGCAAGAAGAAAAGTACTTACTTTGGAGTCCTACATCAAAGTTCAGCAGAAAATAAAGAGACGTACCAGACAGTCACCCAGGGCACAAAGAAGACTACAACCACCATACTTATAAACACATTTTTTAAAAAAAACAAGGCATGCATGAGTTACATTTAAATTGATAAAACATTTATTTCATTATTGTATAGTAACGGACAGTCATCGTGGTCAGCTATTGCATTGTTTTAGTAGCACACAGAACAGAGTGCCTAGCTAAAGTGCATTTAATCTAGATGAGTAAACTTTAGTAATCTTTAATTTTGTAGGGTTTATTGGATTGCCCAATGTAGCACTTACCTTTTAGTTTAGGTATTACAAACAGTATTATAACTGGTCTGAGTACAGAGTAATAAACTTGGATGCCGATATAGTCTGAACATTGCTTCTCAAATAACTAAAAATGTTATGCTTGATGTACTGCAGGTTTGCTCTAAAAACAAAAATACTTCTTAAATTCACCCACTGCACCTACTATCAAGTCAAGAAAAACTAAAAAAATATGCTTACGTGTCTAAAAATTAAGATAATCAAATGAATCTGAACAAATTAATCCTCATAAACAACATAATTAGTTAAGCACAGAAAATGGCCGTGCTTGTATAACCTACATCCTATTTGACTATATTGGAAATGCCCAAACAGACAATAACAAATACAAATGTGTAACAAGGGGTCGAAGTTGAATCATGTTACATCCTCAGTGGTTTTGACCAAATCATGGTTGAATAATATATTTTTTTAAGATGTCACACGATGCAACCTCTGGTTTTACAGTGATGATAAACAATATAGAAAAGTGCAAAGGAACCACATTTAGTGACAAGCATTTACTGACAAGCGTCAACAACACTGCCACAATTCTTACTAGCCCTATGATTTATAAATGGGAGGGCATCAAACATAAAATGTATAAAGTTAAATAAAGTGCTTTTTATTAGCATTATGGTGTAAAATGGTATTCAGTATCAGAATATATAATAAGGGCTTGAATGAATAGTAAAAGTAAAATTTTCATCTGGTGACAGTGTTGTTTGAGATCTGCCATGCGCTGACCCTCCACCATGAACGTAGAAACAGAGGAAGCAGAAAGGAGCTCAGTCATGCAGGTGTGAAGCAGCAGCAGCACCAGCAGAGGGCGCCAGTCAGTACACAGGCACATTAAAGTATTCATGACGGGGCTGAGGAGAGAGATGCACACATCTTAGGAAACAGGAAAACATCATGTTATAAAACAGTGAGTGAGGTACTCTCTTTTCTCAGAATTTTGCCTCCTTAAAACTGTATTTGTAGTTTAAAAAAATTCAAAGGTGTGAGGAGACAAGTCCTGTGAATGAGATGTACCCTGTGTCCTTAGCAGAAGGACATGCAGTAAACAGAAAGAAAAGCTGAGGACAATTCACCATCAGTGGCATCACCTAGCTATGTCCACTCCAAAGTAAACTACACACATCAATGTTTGTCTAAACCCAATGATCTTTAAGATATATCTCTTAATAAAGCATGCATACATTATATTCGACAGACATTTTTTATTAATTAGAATAGCGTTAACAGTTTTCTCACCAAAAGGTTTCATTCACATATGTTTTGGTCTCCTTCTCCAGCACCACAAAACTAAGACACAGACTTTGGGATTCCAAAACATCCATTATTTTAAGAAATACTCAGGAACGACCAAGGTTAAGGTGTCCCTGAACCACTGAATCCCTGAAAACTGCATAATAAAGAACCATAGTAATGAAGGACGTTAGAACAATAACTGAACGTATTATTGACAAAATGTTTAGAAAGGTAATATACGAATCAGTGATCAAATAAAAACATTCTGATCAGTCTGTCTGTCTGGACTGAACTGTAACATGTTTGTGATTTCTGAGATTTGTTCTTTAATAGTGTGGAGTCTGTGGACATAGCCTTTTTTGGTTGGACTAAGGATACACGAGCAATGGGGCTGTTACTAGTTTAGGCACAAACAAAACAACAGATTAAACCCATATGGTACAGACAGAACTACTGCGGACACACTGAGACAGACAGGGCTCTCATCACTGGAGGGACTGCTACAACAAACAACAGTACTGCATTGTTACTGCGTCTACACTCTACTCTAAAGAGAGGACGACCTACTTCCACAGACACACATTCACCTGAGCTCAGAGCCTAACTCTGGAACAGCCCAGACGCCTCAGAGGCCAGACCAGGGACCATCACACCTGCAGGAGACACTGCATCAGCACCTCTCGCTTGTCAAGTATAAAGCTTTTTAACAGAGCTTTAGAAACTTCCACAACAACTACCAAATAGCTATTGCTTCCCAGTGGCTGAGCGTGTTATGTGAATGCTTCAGATGATGCCAGATCCAAGTCTACAGGGGTGCAAAGGGTGTAATCCAACCTCATTAAAAGTTTCACCCTGTTTTGGGGCAGGTTATATAAGGGATAAATGTAAGAGTATTGTGCAAATCTTTGAAACTTTAATCAGTCAGTTTGTTCTGGACCTCCCTAAATTATGCCTACATTTGAGACAGAATAGTAGACATTTAGTATGCTTACTAAATAGTAGTAGGCATAAAATGTTTTAGTTTTGAATGCACAAAAATGTAATATAATGCAAAAAAACCCACACACAATTCTCTCAGCCCTTTAACAGCAGAAATGATGTTTGGGACATGTTTGAATCCATGTCTGGGTGCTAAAAATGGATACAGTGATACAGACATAACTACAGGAGAGCACTACAGGACTATTATTATTGAGGAGAGTGAGGGGTAGGGAGGATGAGGGGGGTTTGACCTGACACTGCCCCAGTAACAAAGGCCCCTTTATGAGGACGTCTGTTGGACATTTATCTGTGAGGAGGAAGTCTTCAGAGGCATCATTACAGCGAAAGACGAGCACTGGCCAGCTCCTGAGAAATGTTTCATTAAAGCCTTATTAAAATAACTCCCATAATCCCTGGTGGTATTTCTCCTATATAATCACTGCACTGAGCTAGATCACTAAAACTCCGTAAAGCCACAATCAAAACAGAATAACTTCCTTGACAAAAAAGGCCAGTACTGCACAATATAGCCTATTGGTTATGGGTTGCTTTTAATATCATTACTAAAGTTTACATGCTATGTCTAATGCTAAGTTTATATGCTACGTCCTGTTTTTATTTTGGTTTACAACTGGTTCAGGAAATGGTTTTATTCATGTGTTATTGTAGTTATTCAGTTATTATAGAGGATTTTTCATGGCATATGTATCATAGCTATTCAGCAAGTTTTTTTTAGCACAGTGATACTCAAAATGGTCAGTACAGAACTGGATCGATAAAAACATACAGGCTCAATCAAAGTACTATTAGGCCAAATGACATTATCATTTGTAAATGAAGGAGGATGCACACTGATCTGCCATAACATTATGACCACCAGCTAAATGTACAGCTTCTTACAAAACTAGCAATGTATTTCCTTCAGACATAGTCAAACTATATTAATATATAAAGATATTAGCTTGGACAGCTCAAAACACTACAAAATCTTACTTGAAAGTAGCATTTCTATATTTCTATACCATTTTACAGCCAGTATTAGCTTCCTCAGGATCAGAACGTTCAAATAAATGCTGATCACCTGCTACGCATCTAAGAAAAATCTTCCTTCAACATTAACTGAATATAAAATCTTTGTAAATCACCCTGGTCAGTGGTCACTATAATGTCATACCAGATCTGTGAGTGGTTCTTTTCATAGGGCCATGTTTTGGTATGACCCTGAAGCAGACACTACATGCAGTCTTAAAACCACAGCACACGTGTTAACTCCATGCGTCTGAGCCAGTGCACCAGGCCGGACGTTACCAAAATCTGGAGCCTCTATAAGATCTCGTCACTCTGCAAACTGCCCCAGTCTTCACTCTAAAATACAGAGGGCTTCATCAGGGGCCTGTCCAGTGTCCATGGGGTTGACTGGACCATAAGCAGTAAAATTTGAAGAGCTGAAGAAACCTTATTTTAGTTTTGTAAAATAACTGCACTCGAGTAGATGCTCTCTGCAAAATAAAGTTTAAAAAAGTATTACATTTAAACTTTACAACAGCCACTATTGTTAAAACGACTATTGCACTTTTTCATCCAGGATCTTTAACATTCAAACGAAAACATGAACTGCTAAATGAATACAATTATCCAATATATTTCTAACAGTTAGTCATTTTCTTCCAGAACAGGTTATTTTGATGTTTGAAGAGACAATCAAGACATAAATTATTGCAGCCTTTGCAAATTGACAATCGCACCCTTTCAAATTGGCATTTTGATTTTCCTAAGATTAATTGCGCAACCCAAGTTAAAACCATTACTTTACTTGCTGCTGCTACTACTACAGAAGATATATATATATATATATATATATATATATATATGGCTTTTGAAAAGTTCTGTTTTAAGCGCTTCTCATAAGACTGCATGAGGGCTCCACTCTCTGCCTCGTAATTGAATGAGCCACTGTACTCTTGTCCTTGGGGATTTCAGACTTGGCTCGGTCCAGACTCTCTTTCTGAGCCAGCTTAATCCAATCTGAGTTTACCATTAAACGACTGCAACTTTGATTAATCCTGTATTTTACCTGAGGATGACAGGAACATCACAAACAGCCTTTTTAATCTCGACTCCACTGCTCTTTTTAGTAAACACGCTCATGTTTTTCCCTTTATGTAAATGTGTTCAGACTGACTACCCAGAACTCATTATCTGTGGCCTTTTGCTTCGGAGTTGAACAAACAATGCACCAAAACCAACTGCCTGGAGACACTAACAACAAGGTACAGGACAAAGGCCTATTCAAATGCACATTCATCTTGTAACTGAAATGAAGGGAACTAGTTGCATTTTCCTTTTTTACATGCAGTTAAGTTGACAGAAAACTATAGGTCATCAGACTGCAGAAGTGAGTGAAAATGGCACTTCTGCAGCAAAAAGCAGGTCTGAAAAGCATCAGTTCAGCAGTGTCAATATTTTTTAATACATTTTGTATTTTCCAGGTTTGCCTTTCATTATCAAGCAAACCACTGATGAAAATGTCCTTAAACTGTGAAATATGTGCTAATTAATTAGTTACTGAGGGTGTAGCTCACTCTCCTGTTAATTTATTTTTTTTCTTTTGTTTGTTCAAAGGAGATGAGTTATAAGAGCCAATGGTTAGTCATTACAATGCGCAGAGACACACTCAGCAGCAGGATTATCCACTTGACTGTGTAGTTGATTAGTAAGAGTGTGATGCAGGGTTTCTACTGGGCTCCATCTAATAGATTATACTACATTACGGGAAACAGGGTTAGAACCACTAACTGTACCTGCAAAAAGGCGCATCTGAAAGTCTATATTCTGAAATTAATCAAGAATCAAAGACACAAACACATCAGCAGAAGAAATAAATCAACCAAAATGAATGGAAGATAATAGGAGGATGAAAATCACATCAGAAATCTAATTGCATGTAAATAAATAAATAGTGATCATGGAGATTGTGGGTCCACAGGAACCATTCTCCAGACAGTGCGATGGAGCTCAGACAGAGGTCATGTTCTCCTTCAGGCTCATAACATATCCAGTTAAGTTCAAATTCATTTATAGTAACTTTCCTGATTGCAAAGAATTTGAGTCTTTAAAATGACAGTACAGACTTTTTTATTATAGAATTAAAAAACAATCAAGACTATTGTTACAGTGTTATTTGCTCATTTTGTTGAGGCTACAGATCAAACAAAAGAAAAGCATGCTATTTATTCAGCTAAAATAACTGGGAACTGTATCTCTGTTTTAACAGTTTTGTCTTGAATTGATATTTCTTGAGCATAATTAAGCGTGTGTGCAAATACACTTGGTAGGGAATGTAGGCATTTAGTAACAGATTCAGGTCAGAGTCTTACCTCCTGTAGTAGGTCGGCCTGTTCTATGGCCTTTAACACGTTTTTCTTTGACGTCTCCTGGGCCTCTCCACCAAGAAGAAACTCGTCTAGAATGAAGTATGCCTTCTCAAAGTTGAATATAATGTCCAGCTCACAAACCTATTAAATAAAATTAGGTAGACTATAGTACACATGAAGAAGTACTTTCAACAGGCCTACTTTGTTGATGTCAGTACAAAGTACTTTACTGCTAAAAGGTGGTATTAGTAGCCTTAGTAGTAGAATTGCGTAGTTTCAGTGGATTAGCAATAACTATGCTAGAACTGGTATCAGAATAATAATTTGTAGTAATATGCTTTTGCCAAGAGTGGATTTGGTGATAGTCATACAATTAGAGGAAGCTGCAGTAAGTAGTAGTACTAGTAGTACTAGTAGTAGAATGGTGGCCAGAGGACCAATTTAGAATGTATAAAAGGTGTTGCCCACTTTCACCTCTATTTGAAAGTCCTGATGCGGATCCAACTGCAGTCTGATTTTCCAGGGGAGCACTTCCTCCTTCTGTGGTACTGTCCACACATTACAAACAGACTAAAAGACTCACACTGCCAAAGTATTTGTCCAGCAGCTCCACGTATCTGTGAATGATCTCCAGAGTGATCAGCTCGTTGTCTTGGCCCTCGATGGCACAGCAGAAGTACAGACTGGCATATCTGAAAACAAAAAAACAAAAAACAAAAATGTTGAAGTTATTACTCACCATAACATAACAAAAAAAAACATTTATTTATCTTAAAAGGAGCTCAGGGGACTCTAGAAGCTCCTGAAGCTTCTGAAGATGTTAGAACTTAGTCGTTATTTATTGTATCAGGAAGTGGATTTTAGCACAGAAACACCAACAATATGCAGGCGGTGTTTGTGCTAAAATTAAGGGTAGGCCTCCTGCTTGTCTCCATGGAGATGATATTGCTGGAATAGGCTGAAATATTCCACAAAATGGCATTAAATGTATCGAGCTATATGGAGACAAGCAGATGACAGCATCAGGGATGTTTTCTACGATAATTCATACCTGTACAACACTGTAATTAAGAAAAACAAGAAGAGAAAATTTAAATTCCATACAGTGGAACATTCCAAGCAAAGCAGATCCTTTATCATCAAAGTTAAAGTTACATATTGCACCTTTAAATTTAGTAGTAGATTTCAAACTGTAACACATATGTTTCTTCTGGTGGTATGCAATGGATTATTTAATGCAATTTATTTAAGTCAATTAGGTTCCATTATAGTTAGCAGCCTATATTTGCTTCAGTAAGTAAAGGCTTGTCTGTTTACACAAAGTGTAGTTTTAATTTACTCAAGGTTAGCACGTTGTAGTCCACTGGTTCAGTCCGGTGTTACTGAAAAGTCTTGAGAACTCTGTGTATGTGTAATGTATTTGAAGCATACTTCTACCACTTGACATCATGTTCACAGGGCATTATTTTGTTGTAAAGGTGGAGTGTGTGTGGGAAGAGCATTCATTTAACAGGCCAAAGCCGGATGTATGCAGGGAGCTTTTTATGAGTATAGCTACATTTCGCCCACAGCTCTTAATCCCTGCTAATCCCAGAGGCGCTCTTTAAGCATGTGATGATGGGCTAATAAAGGACTAGGCCGGTTGATCCCTTACACCAGCAGGATGTGTGGTTACAATGTTGATTACAAAAGACAAATAAAATCATGTTTAATCAGCAAATTGCTATTACGGACTTGAAAACTTTGGACTACACTGTTAACATGAACTTCAATCACATAAAAAATAAAAAGAAATGGTAACAGTAGATTAATACTGTATAATAGTCATACTCAGATGTCAGGAAAGTAAGAAAGTAATCAGGAAGTAATGTGCTAATGTGGTTACAACCTTTTATGGCAAATCCTTAATGGGCAGGAAGAGAGAATTCCCCTTCAAGAGCCATTATGAGGACTACTGGCAAATGCACTTAACCATAAACCCAACCCACGGTGATAAGTTTATAAGTGTATAATACAAACAAAAAATAATATTTTGTTAAAACATAACTGTGAACTTTGCTCACATCTTTTAATTAGTGTTCATTTATTAAGATGGCAGTTAATACATTCACACTGAAACAGGATTATGAGGCTTTCTTCATGTTTTGGGAAGAGTGATTTCATAATACAGCCTTTTTTAATATTCCCATCCCATTCATCACACTTCCTTTCACGCAGAGAAGAGTGATCAGACTTACTTTTACTCTACTGCGTAACTTATTACAATTAGGTGATTTTGTAATAATTTTAAGCAATAATTGTCAAGTTTTGATTTCGGACTATTTAGTTCTCACCTTTTATATACAATCTTAAGATCTCTCCACTCTAAGAAGCTGCACATTTTGGGTTTTCGGGCCAGCACGGTTTGCACCAGCTCTCGGGTGATCTTCTTCTTCTCTTTATCCGACAATGGCACGTACCATTTCTGAAGCCGGAGCTTGCCTTGCCGACTGAACAGGAGCATGAACTGCATCTAAAATGAGGAGACAAAACACAGACGTGAGACAATGAAACGAGAAGAAGGAGTGGGTGGTGAGAGGCAAGCGACAAGACACAAAAAACACTAACAAAGCACTCATGTTATTATTACTTTAGTTTAAAGGTGGGGCTCAAGGATACAATGAAAATACTGCATCACATTTTTTCAAGTATTGGGATTAGATTTGCAATTTATTCTCATAATCATGCCCAGAAAGAAGACCGAAGTACATATGCAAAATTAAGCAAAAATAATGATATCACATTTTTAGAACTTTTTATCTGCTGATTCACACTTCAATGGGTGGTTATATCCCCTTGTCACTCACTCCAATGTGCACCATTATTTGTATTAATGCATCTGTTTCTGTATGGAAATTATTTGTATTTCACTACAAAAATACAAGACTACTTTGTCTCTTCTTACTGCATTTCCTCTTGATTTTGGAATGAATATTATTTATTTATTATATGTATTTATTTTCTGTAAATATACCTATCCAGTTAAAGATTAAAATCTCTTGGGCAACTCAACCCAATAAATAAGAAGTTACATAGAGTAAGTATTAAACTCTGTAATTTCTTTAAAACTTTGCTGTGTTTTAGCATTTAGTAAAAGCTCCATAATTTGGGCTCAATAAAACAATATGTACATGAACAATATATTTATCCTGCTAATGCATTATGGGAAAAAATAACACTAACTTTGGAAGAGCCCTTCGTATGTGTGACTATAGACTGTATACACATTTCCATATGTTGACATGTAAAGCTGCCATACAGAAGTTCTAATGGCAAGTTTGCAACCTGTAATAACACGTCTTACAACAACTTAGAAATAGCAATTAGTTTACCACGATCGATCTTCAACAATACATTACAAACGTGGGATTTTTACATTTGACGTGTTTTTTGAGTCCCAGACAGGAGTAGACCACCTCTCGCCGGAGCGTGACAGATCCACAGCCCAAGGAGTACCGCTATCAGTTATTCCGAGGTTAGCATTTAGCTCGTCTAGCCCTTATGTATTTCGTGATTTTGTCTCGAAAATAAAGAATAATACACCTGCTTTAAATGTGAAATGACCTCCCGTATAAACGAACCGCTTACCTTAAATAAACACTGTAAGCTCCACTCAGAAGAACTAAACCACCCAGCGCTTTACAGAAACCCCGGACAGGTACCGCGGCGCTGATTGGTCAAAAAAAAAAAACACACTCTCCAGATTGGCTAGAATACTTTTTATGACCCGCCCACCTCAAGGCTTTTACTTGATCTAAAGAATGTTATAGGCTACACACAATGTCAATCATAATATATTGAGCCGATTGGTCCCGCCCACGTAACAAGCAGCAGAATTGATCAAACATACTTTGGAATAATAGTACTATAATAATAATAGCAACAATCGAATCTGATCTTTCTGTTCAGAAAGTATGTATTAATGTTCTTATATATGTTTTAAATTTAATTATAATAAGCCTATTGTAAACTATTATTTAGGCACTGAGTTTATATGAATCTTCCTAATTAACTTGCAAGCTATAGAAAAGTAAGACATAACAATTCTTGCATTGCTTATAATTATTATAATGTAGTATGCTGTACCATGAGTAGGCTATTTGAGGTTGTTTTCTTTTGGTGACTTTGTGTTTAGGAGAAGAGTCTCCTAAACATAATGTTTACTTTAAGCATTATGCCTTTATATACAAATATCAATTTGTTTTTGCATTGCCTATTAATATAAACATGTAGTCACAACTGTTTATGGATGAGTGATGTTACAGTTCACACTGGAAGCCAAAGCTCTGATCAGGCTGAGCAGAGGAGTCTCTCTCTCTCTCTCTTTTTCCCGTAGGAGCAGGACGAGTGTGTGGGGCCAATAAACGGTTTTAGATAAGGCCGTGATGGGACCATGGATTAGTGTAATCCCATCCTCGCTTTCGTATCACACACACTGTATCCATTTGAACAAAATGGAGCTACCTTTTCGAGCTGCTGTGCTCTTCCTTCTACTTCAGGGTAAGTCCCAGACCCAATATGAGCTGCAACAGAGATTCTCAAACTGTGGTACAGGTACTGTTGAAGGTACATAGACTTTCAGGTAGTGCTCTGATTTTCCTTTTCATTCAAATTCAAGTTCGATTAGAGTAGATCATTACTTAGTGATGTCCTGATTTAGTCCTGTAAAAATTTAGTCCTGCCTTGAATAGGAATGGTGAAGCATCCTAGATTAGCCTAAATTCAATACATATCTCTAATAATTGTTTTAAATTGCTCTCTAACTTGATGCACCTGAAAATGTGTTCCAGTCATGGTTGCTGTTCATTCACAAGAGGTAGGATACTTTTATCAATCACATTTAAATTAGTAATGTCAAACCCCAGATAGTTTAATTGCCTGCATATGCTGTATGATCAGGAGGATGTGCAGGCGGAGGGGTTGCAGGAGGAGGATCAGATGTTGTTGGAGTCATGGACCAGTGACATGAGAGCGTGTACCTGTGATTGTGAATCAACCCAGCCCACACCAAGCCTTGTCCCACCCACACCAAGCCCTGTCTCATCCATCACAGCCTCCCAGAACTCCCTCTTCAGCTGTATGCCAGGTCAGAAGCATTAATGGTAAAAAAAAAATAGAGGTATTGATGAGCAGTGTGCTGATATTAGATATTTGACATCAACCTGCATCCAGGAGATTGAAATGAACCATGTTGGCTGAAATCACTTACACCTAACGTTCATTAATATTTTTCCACATTATAAACAAATCAAAATGAATGGAAAAAGTTTAATAGTTTATTTAATAAATATAATACATACAAAGACTTTAGCATGAGTTTTCAAGCCTATTTTAAAGTATCGGACACCCAGTGTTCCAGACCACACTCTCAAATTATCACCCAGTGTGATAAAGCTTTTCTCTAAAATCTGTTAATTTGTGGTGGTTTAAATAGCTTGGTATGCTGTGACACTGTGAGGAAATCAGATTACCTGTGCAAGATTAGGAGTCTCAAAATAGGACTTCCTTCCCTGATAACTGGCCTGGTCACAGTAAAATATATTTTTTATATTTCCACAAAATGACTCTTAAACTGTAACAATTTAATGATGTAAAAAATTCTACCCCCTAACCAAATATGTTACCATTAAGGAGCTACCACCATATTCTTTTCTATAAATTCTGTTCTCACAGAGTGCCCGTACCACCGACCTCTGGGTTTTGAATCTGGGTTTGTGATCTCAGACCAGATCAGCTGTTCCAGCCAGGACCAGTACTTGGGCTGGTACACCTCATGGCTCCCAAACAAGGCCCGCCTCAACAGCCAGGGCTTTGGGTAAACCACTGCACACACCAAAACACTGTTAATAGCTAATTCTTTGGTTGGTACAATGCACAACTGTGAATAACTGAAGTTATTTAGTTTAGGTAATGACAGATTAGCTCTTTACTTATTTACTTATCAGCTATATAAAAATTGCCATAACTTGCTATAAGACCATATCACGACATGTATTTGTTAATTTGTTCTTTTAAAAAATCAGGCTAATTTTCCTCTTGTTGAAAGTTTAAATTTCTCTCTGTCAGATGTGCGTGGCTTTCTAAGTTCAATGATCAGTTCCAGTGGATTCAGATTGACCTGAAGGAGGTGTCAGTCGTGTCTGGGATCCTCACTCAGGGCCGCTGTGATGCAGACGAATGGATCACCAAATACAGCCTCCAGTACCGTACCGTGGACAACCTCAACTGGGTCTACTACAAAGACCAGACTGGCAACAACAGGGTGGGAGCAGTGGACATAAACAGAGATACTGATATATAGATGGAGTGCAGGTCATTCATTTAAAGTGAAACATATAGGGAGAAGACGTTTTAAGTTTTCTGCAGATTGGTCCAGTAATTACAGAGGTTTTAGTAGTAAAAAACATAACACATTTGCGATATGTAATGCAAACTTGCCTTTCCAAATTAATAATTAGCTCTATTCTGAACATGGAGTATGGTAGCTTGCTTGTAGACCAGACGCACCCGATTTCACACTTCACTTAATAATAGTTATGTATCTCTTGTAATACAAATATGCTCAAACATGCACAAACACACAAGACTGTACTGTAGTTTTCAGGCTTTCGTATACTGTGGTTGTGCAGGGAGATTCAGAGCTCAGCGGCATGTCCAGACTTGTTTTTACACTTGTCCACTGAAGGAAAAAGTATTTGTGTATGTGTGAAAATGCCCTGGACAACCACTCAAACATTTTACTGGCTTCTATCACTGGTTTCTTTCAATCAGATGAAAATTTAAACTAGCAAATCTTGTTTTCACTAGTGTACATCTGTTCTGAGAAAGCTGATCATGCATTTTTAGAAAGAAGACATAGCAACTCATTCTGACTGTATGATCAATCACAATGTTATGTAGTTGACCCACCAGGAGTCCTCAAATATGAATATATTTCTTTCTAAGATTTTTTTTGTCCTGGTGTTGGTTTTGGCAGTCTCAAGAGGACAAAAATCCTTGTAATTCAAATGTCAAATAACACCACACTTATTTGTTTATTCCAAAATAAAAAATAAAAATTGTATGAATATCCACAGTGACATCTGTAATTACTTAATTGTAAAATAGAGATTGTTGTTGAGCTCCATACCTCTGTAACCCTGCTCCTTTCCTCCCAGGTGTTTTATGGGAACTCAGACAGGACGTCCACAGTTCAGAACCTTCTGAGACCTCCTATTGTCGCCCGGTACGTCCGGCTCCTGCCCCTGGGCTGGCACACCCGTATCGCCTTGAGGATGGAGCTGCTTATGTGTTTGAACAAGTGCATGCTCTGAGCCACACAGCTGCTAAATGTGAAGGAAGATGGACACTGCAAAACAAACTGTGCAGCACAGTGATTTGGGAAGATTCTTTAATCTAACTCTAACCTTAAACTGGAAAGTAAAGATCAAAGCTGAAAGTTACTCAACATCTGTAACCAATTAAAACTAGTAATGAAACATTCAGTAGGTTTGATCCCATGATCAAATGATAGGGGAATTATACATTATACATGCATACATATGTACATATACTGTACATTATTACATACATTCATTATATTAAAATAAGGCCAGAAAAAAGTAGTGCAATAAGGACTGATAATACCACTTAGTATTATGATGACTGCGACTTCCTACACTTACGGCTTATACTCTATATCTTCAGGTTGGATGATGGATACAATTGACAAAAATGCTAGTAATAATAATAATAGTAGTAATAATATTCACTTTCCATTTATAGGCATGGGTACCCAAAAAATATCTGACTACATTAAATGCATAATATAATGAACTCTGAAGCATCAAACATACTTTTCTTTAAATTTACTGTATTAAATGAATCTTGTCAAATCAACAACAAATTAATAAGTTTGTTTTATTCAAGGTTCACTGTTACATGTAAACATAAATGTCCTAAAACGTATGAGCATTTTATTGTGTTTGTTTTGATGAAAATGCTTTGTCCCAAAGGAAAATAAGCAGAAAACACTGACTATGCTACTAATTTGTGTCTGTAATAAAGCACAAACTTCATACTTGATTCAATTAAACATTTTCTGTTATAAACATTACCAATAACAGTAGTCACAGCAGTATTAATATAATACACAGTGCTCCTTCAGCAAAACCAGGATCCATAGAGACTCGTGATGTGAGTCCAAGTTCATAGTAACTGTCCCATCAAAAATCCATAAATTGTTTCCCAGTCATTGCCACGTTTAGGAAAAATGTACAAAGTCATATTGGTATTGCTGCCTCACACAGGCTTCTCAAAGTGCAACAATAAAACAAAAGAGGATCCACGCAAAAATGTTCATTCATGGCACTCAATGTGATATGACGTTCCTTCACAAAAAGTATCCAAAATGTCCACGTGACCAGTTGAAATGAAGTGATACATCTAGAATGGCTTTTTCTTCTTCTAACTGCTGTAAAAATGACCTCATAAAGACCACAATATTAAAGACAAGAAATAAATAACATCTTTACGGCAGTTAAAATAAATATATTTGTAAATGTATCATAACATTTCGTTTGGATACAGCACCAACCAAACCTGTTGTGACACATAATTACTTAAAGCAGTGCAACATAATATATATTTTCTTTCTATTATCTTTCTATTATCTGTATACTGTCTCACATATAATGGATTCATGTTTGAATTGCATGTTTTAAATTGTACCAAAAGTATCTTAAGTACAGTCATCTCCACTGTAATTAAAATTTAACACCTGTATAGAAAATAATACTGTACATTATTAGCTCTAATGTGTAATGCCTGTTAATGTCTTACAGAGGGCGCTGTAGCTTAGATTTTCTCTCCAGTTAGGGCACCAGTTTTTCTAAAATGGCTGCATTTCTAATAGTCATAAACAGCCCCAAAAAAGCCTCTTAGTTAAGCATTTAGGGTGCGTTCACATTTGCACAATTACCACATCAAAACTGGGACTAAACTGGGACTCATCCCGGATGCAAACCAAGATTGTACCAGAACTAAATCAGGACTGGAACAAGGCCATCTACATTAGGACTTAAACTGGGTTTATACCAAGACCAAACCAGGACAAATGTGAACGCACCGTAAAAAACTATAATATTAATTGCACTACAGTGATTTCTCTCACTCATACTCCACCAAAGGCAACAGCTGAACCCTGGTGAGATGAACACACAGTTACCAACATTACTGACCTAAACAATGTTAAAGTGGCTGTGTTAAAATGCCTTAGGTTCCTATAGTAAAGACTACATAATAAAATGTACCAGAGATCTATCCATAGAAACAAAAAATACTTACACAAATCTATACTTTACCTTATCCATATATATATATGTATATTTATATATATATATATGATCTGTAATATATTTATAATTATAGTACAAATTATAATCAGAATTACATAATAATATAAAGTCTATCAAACATGGAAGCTTTAAAAAATTAAGACATACCAAGGCCTGTACTGGACCTTTAGCAAGCAAGTGTTTGGCATCAGTGCTGTGTGTGTGTGTGCGGCAGGTGTGGTGTTATGCAAGGAGCGAGTAGGAGCAACAAAAGGAGGCATAGAAAGTGGAGCAGTGAGCTTAAATCACAGAGCCGTTTCCTTTAGGTCATTTAAGTTTGGAATCCGGGAGCGTGAAGGCCGTCCAAAACCGTGCCCGTTCTGACCTGTTTTAATGCTCATCTGCTCGGGATAGGGGTTGCCCTCTGGACGTCCTAAAGCAGAGGTGTGCCACCCAGGTTCCAGCTGGGAGGGGTGCGGGTACTGGCGGGCCTTCATCTGGGGCGTACTGACCCCGGAGTGACCCCTACCTTCCACAAACCCGCCCTGAGATGAGCCGGGGTTGGGCATTGACGGGTAGCGCATGTCGGAGGGAGCTGTTTGATTGGACGATGAGGAGGACAGATGGAGGAGTTTCCTCAGTGACTTCAGGGGCTGACTCTGAAATGGACAAAGTTTTGAAAATCTGGTAATTATAGTATATAGTATAAGTAGGAATACAATTTTCTAAATAATTTATATATATACTACAATTTATTAAGCAAGAATGACCAGCCATAGTTATTCTATTTTAGTCAAAGTATTAGTGTTGATTGAGTTACAATTTGTGTGGGTGGAACAACAAGACATGGATGTAACTATAGCTCCATGCAACAAATACAACCTATTCAAGGTAAACAAAGTCAAGACGGACACAATTAGAAAAGAAGACAGACAGCTCAAATACCAAAAAAATTGCTTTATAACTCATGTGAATGTGTTTTTGTCATTGTACATGCAGCTATCGTGACCTTAAACATATCTTTTTCACGTTCATACCGGCGAGTGTGAATCAGACAGTTTCTCTGGAGGCCAGTCCTTGTCCCTGTCTCGTTCCTGGTCACGCTCGCGGCTCTTGTCTCTGGATCTGTGGCGCCCGCTCTGATGTCCCGATCTGGATGACTTCTGAAGGACATTATCCTCATTGGGCACCTGCCCCAAATGTTAACAGTTATTTTCTATTCAGATATGTTCTCAGACTTAAGTACAGTTGAAATCCACACATTTTAACGGACAACATGTGCTTAAAACTGTAAAATGTCTCATCGTGATTTAAGCACATTTGTGGGTGTGTTGTCCTTGCTCTTGTGAAGCTACTGTTACAAGATACAACTGCAATGTGTGATCTTGCTGTCATTATTAAACATGACATGCATCTATTTCAATAAATGCATTTAGATCTGAGGAGAAAGAGATTTGAGCCAGTGAGCTACTCTCCTAATGTGAAGTGCATCTAGCCTGCTTCTCTCTAACTAACCAGACTGTGTTTGTGCCGCAATAACCCCTCGCCACATCTGAACAAACTGTCATGTAAAAATAGAAACACAGATTTCCAACAGTGTTTGTCTGCATTGAGATGGCTAAACATTTCAGACTATATAAACACATTTTACAAATATATCAATCAATTTTAATTATTGTCTGAACACAGTGTGGCATAATTATTGGAAAAAGAGAGCAGATAGATTATTGGGATGCATGCCGTAATAGTAACCATGGAAAGACACAGCTTCTCTCACTCCTCCTCAGATCATAATTAAAAGACATGCTGTTAGCAGCGTGGTACCAATCACTGACTAGGGCTGCACAATATTAGCAATACACTGTATGTAACTAAGGACAACAAAGGACATCTCTATTGGATTCAATACTCCATTTGACAGAGTTTCCAAAGATAAACTAACAAAACTGTAGTGACTATTGATGTAACTGGTTTATATATAAACCAATTACACCATAACATACACAATTTTATGTTCAGATTAGACCATTACTGTAAAAAGTACATAACACGGAAAACAGAAAAAGTTACTGTAAAAATATTAATTTGATTACAATACCATCGCATGTACTGTACAGCCCTACTCTAGCAGCAACTACTTGGAAAAAGGTATAATTAATAAACTAATGTACCTTCCAGATCCAAACATAATACTGCATGTATCTTCAACTACAAATATCTGCATCTTTTCATTCTTGGATCTGGTCAGTGTGACCATGATTTACTAGTGAGATGTTCAAAACACAGAAAAATGTAAAAACAATAATAATAAAATTGATAATGTGAAGCGTGCAGTTTGGGTCAAGTTAGGACATAGAGAAGAGGTGCATAACATGTACCATGGGAGAGGACACTACAGGGAGAACTCTCACAGACGAACTACGCTTTATGTGATTCTTTGGGCTAAACAGAGGGAAAAGACTTTTCCTGAGGGCGGGAGGTCTTCGATCTGGCACTTCAATCTGTAATACAGAGGCACAGCACAGATGGGACGGGACAGTGAAGCACGACTATAACAACAGGGAAAAATGGTCAGTGCAACACAAGCTTTTAAGAGAAGGAAATACAGATGTGGACAAGCAAGGAACAGTCAACAATAAAGCGTAACATTACAACCACTCATTTACTATTATGTCCTCAACAAATTCAGCTGCAGTACTTCATCTGTTACATAAGACCACCAGGCACACTTGGATTCCCCTCTGTGGTTTCCCGATTTTCCTTCCTGTTTGATAAGGACCACTGCAGACTGGGAACACCCCACAAGAACTGGCAGCTGCAAGTTTAACTGGGAATGCCAATACTGGCATTGGGTATCAGGTCAGACCCAGAAATAAAATGATTGAGAATCTGTTCCAGGATATTGGTCTGGGTTAAGCCAAATAATGTACCGTAATAAGATTATTTACTGACATTGTTGGCCTTAGAGCCTACAACAGTTGCACTTAAATTTATATAGTGCCGCTATAGTTACTTAAATAATAGATAACAATAACATATTTAAATAATTTTCATTAGTAATTTGTAAGCGACTTTCACTCTGCATACCAATATTGTTTGATACTGGATATCATCAGATATTCAAACCAAAGTATAAGTATTGTATCGTAACTGGAAAGATTTTGCATTTCTAGTCATCAGTATCTTTACCATTCATGTCTTTAAACTTGCAATTTTTGAGGATGAATTCACTAACGGCCTTATAATTTTTCCCACTAATGAATACATTATCATGATGTGTTTTGGATTTTAATGGTCATCTTATGCCTGAAAAATAGCAATGACATTATTAATATACACATTTACTCACCAACTGAGACTTTTTCTTTTTCTTCTTTATTGCTCTAAAGAAACCCTGCTTCTCCTTTTCTTTGGATGGTTCAGGATTTAAAACTACAGTGTCTGGACCATTCCTTAGAAAAAACAAAAACACAAAAACATATTTGCAATTAGTAAAACAGTGTCACTTACAACAGGGCTTTAATCCAACCATCAAATAAACGCATCACTTAACAGCAGCCAGCCCAGTGTAGCTGATGTCGACGCATAACAGGCTGTTGAAGGGAAGGAGGGTTACAGAGATAATTACCACGGGTCGAAGGCAGGCTGACGCTTGGAGTGGTTTGTCAAGCCGCCGCTGTCCCCTGCCCTCTGTCCCCTGCCGTCATGGAACGAGTTATCCGGGCGTGGAGAGGGGACTACTCAAAGTACAGGACAAAAATCATCATTAATCTTGGCCATTTCAATGCTTTTTTGTGGGTACTGTGGACTGAAAAGTGTTTTTGATGGATAGTTCATGTAGTACTTTTAGCTATGTGTGCTATTTGTCCCATTAGCATTTATTGTGTGTAACCGTTAAATTAGTCTAGCATGATATTATTTATAAATGTTTAGAGTTATACATGTTCCAACTGCTCAGGCTGAACCTCTCTCAAGTTAGATTTTCATCTGAGCTTTGTTTTCACAATTCAGCCATAAAGAATGTATTTAGTCAACTTTTTTCAGTTAGTCACACTCACCATTTTTGTTTAAAATCAAACGCTTAAAATGGAAAATATGTTGTTTAAAGAAATTTAGTATTTTTCAGACGATCTAAAATCTCAGGCTGTGTTCCTTAATGTATGCATTGTGTCACCATGGTAACTGTGGTCTCCTCCATAGACCTTTGTAGGTCTGTGGAGGATAGTTGCCCGTCCCCTAATGTGGTGTCACTGTAAAGTATCAGTAGGATATGCCCCGGTATGTTTTCTACCACATGTATGCAATATAGTATAGTTGCTTGGTGAGGTTAACCCACCTCTGTAAAAGCTGCCCACCCTCCGGGGCATCGACTCACTGTAGATGTTGCGGTTCTCTTTACTTGAGCTGCCATCTTCTCCCTGCTGCTCGTGATACAGGCCGACCTAATTCATAACATGTGATGGTCACTTGAGAAATGAGGGGGCCGAACACTTTAGAGTTTTTCATTTTACCTGAACACCCCAAAAAATATTGATTTACCAACTGCAGTAGCTATAAATTCCAGGCTATACTGTTATTTTCTCCAGTGACTGTGCTATCATAATAGTCACATGAGAGGGAAGCAAAGCACACAGAGAAAATGAAGAGGCATCTGATGCAGAGAGAGGAGAGAGAGGAGAGAGAGCAGGGCATGACAGCAGCAGAATCCACCCACACCACACTCGCTGAGACTGGATGTGGGTGGGGAGAGGTGGGTGCAGGCACAATGTCGGACCTCGTTTTTTTGCCGCTGTGAGTGAAAAGATGCAGTGTTGTCCCGTGTTGAGTCTCTTATGGGGGGTCTGCTGTGGCTGACCTCAGTGGGAGCCTGTTCGCTCTGTTAATGGAGACATGATGAAGCATGAGGTGAGCTCAGCACTGCAGCACAAGCAAAGCACAAAGTAAATATATACCAGTGCGTAGTATGTGTGTGGATACAGTATAAATACATCTACGTGGATCAAAGACACTTTTAACAGCAGTGTTTGTGGTGTGTTCAGAGGTTGCTAGAGAAGTAATAATTGTACTCAAGTAGGTGATACAAAGAAAACAAAACACTAATGCTGAATTTATGAAAATGCTAATTATTTGAGGTAATTTTCCCAAAGTGTAAATAAAGAAAACAAATAACTTCCCACCTTGGAGCATAATCCTGTCATTTTGGTAAGTCTGTTTAAAATCTAAGATCATAATAATAATTAGGTAGCACTAGAGTAGATACTAGGTACATAGTTACAGTTTGCTGTAATCTGACAAAAATGTAGACCAGTGATTAGCTTCCATGGTGTGTTCTTAGATCAGTGAGTGAAAAGCGACTGACCCTGCTCATGTCATCTTCTCTGGACGAGGCAGCATGGCGAGGCAGCGTCCGGTGCTGTAGCTGTGGGGACAGGAGCTGGAGGCTGCTGGCTCTGGTGGGGATCCCCTGGCCTACAGAGAGCCCCTCCTCGTGGGTCCTCTGGTGGTCCCGCCGCACATACATCGAGTGCCTGTGGGGGCGTTGCTGAGAGGAGAAGGGGCTGGTGTAGCCTTGTCCATACAGAGGATCGTGTGGGGCAGAGAGGGAGTGCCCGTGGCCTCTGTCCTCCCCTGGTTCCTCTGAGTCTTCTGAGCCTTTATGACGTGTGGACGAACGCCTGTACGAGGAGTCCAGTGTGTTACTCTCTCTATCGCGCATACTGCCTCGACTGATGGGCCCCAGCCGGTCCACTCTGCGGGACGCGGGGCTGCCCGGGGCCGCACTCAGGTCAAGGCAACTTGAGGGAAAGTATCGAGAGGTGGGCTCGTCTGCATATAGGTGCACATCGTTCAGATTACCCACCGATTTAGCATCACTGAGGTTGCCATAGCTTTTGGATAAGTTCAAATATGCAAACTTATTAGAGGCAGGAACGGAGCCGTGTGTGTCCATATAGTGCCGGCTATGCTTGTCTCCTGATTGAAGTGTATTGGTCTTCCCCTCCACAAACGAATGGCGGGTCTGAGAGCGGAAGTTGGATTTGAGGTATCCATCGGAGCCCAGGCTGATGTCAAAGTCAGCTGTACTCTGGCCTTCGCTGGAGCTGAGCAGGTGTGGCAAGTTGCTGCTGGCCAGGTCCATGTTGCAAGACGTGGAGTGGTTGAAGAGGGAGGGCTGGTAGTTCTTGGGGTGCAGGGTGGGGCTGAGGTTAAGGGCTGCAGGCATGTTGCCGTTAAGGAAGCAGTCGTTGTTTGGTTGGAGGTCTTCCTGACGTGGCAGACTGGAGCACTCCCTGCTGCTGGAGCGATGACTTCCTGAGCTCTTTCCTCCATGGCTCCTGAAGAAAAATAGTCCAATTTGAATACTGTTTAGTTTCAGAATGTATATTTACATTCTTATTTTTCCTTAACACTGTTTTTCTGACCTTAGAAGATATTTATTGAGTAATTAAAGGATTTAATATACATACTATGAGAGAAACAAATACTAATACTTTCGTTAAATGAAAATAAATAACCTAACTTTGACTGAATGCTACATAAACCACAGATCATGCATAACTATCTAACAAATCTAACCAACATTCACCATCAGAACTACTGAATCACACAGCCATGTAACTATAGCAACATCTTTATTAGAGAAATGAACAGTGTGAATTTTTTTAGACGGCCAAAAATTACAGCTGTCACAGATGATGAGCTCAGACAGCAGTGTACAAATGGAACAGCTCCAGGGACGCGACTGATTCAGAGCTGCTCACGAATAGATTTGACCAGGCAGTTATCTGTGAATTACCAATGCCAGTCAGAGTGTACACAAGATAAGATTGTGCTGTGATTTCTTGTTGAAGAAAGAGATATTTACTGTGACCAAACACATGTAACGAACCAACTAGCTCATGCTAAATCTATTGAAGATAAATTCAGATTTAGATATTTTGTACATTTAAGAGTGAAAGATACTGAGGTTAAAGTGTCCAGACAAGAGGCCTAGAGTGGACCAACAGAAAGGAAATGAAAGGAGGTTGTGAAAGAGGCGTGCATATGTAAAACAAGCTTAAATTTGGTATAGTTTTTGTTGTTTCATAAAACATGATTTTTATGGCACAACCTCTAATTATTAGTTAGCACAAGCTACAGACAAGCCATCATTAAGGAGTGAATACATTCTTCTGACGAGAGGGTTGTGTGATAGGGCTGACCTGCTGGGGGTGGTGTTATCTCCATGGTGGGGTTTCCTCTTGGACGAGCGGACTGGGGTGGGGGTGGGCGGCCCGGGACGGTCCACGTGCCGCAGGTTCTGGAAGGCGTGGTGGTTCAGACTCTGCTCAGTCAGAAAGCGCTCAGTGGGGTTCAGCAGAAGCAGGTTCTGATAGATTAACAGATGGGGTAGAATTATCACAATTCATGCACTTAGTATTTTTACATTGCCTAAAGTCTTCTGCTCCTCCTGAGAGTTCACACCTCTCTGAAATTGGTTAAATCCACATGTCACTCTTACAAAGCTGGCCATTAGGAGAGGTGGGTGGGGAAAAGTCTTTGAGCTTGATGAGTGATATCATGATTTGTCCAAAATAGCAGAATGGCGCAGGAATGGCATTGATAGATCATCATCATTGACCAACCCTGCACTACAGTAAAATAGTATTCATATTAACAATAGTCCAGCCTAAAATTCAAAATGCCCCTCTCCTCACAAAAACTCAACAGTTGTGTCTTTATGAGTCAGCGGCGCCATTATCATAAAAGTCAGCCTTCTCCACGCCGCTGTGTCACCAAACAGCAACGTGTGAAATGTAATCGTGACAAATTCCTCAGTTAAATAAATAAATCTCAACACCTGTTTCTGTGTAGTCTTACTGCAATTAATCAGACGGGATTAACTTCTTATACATTGTGCTGTGCATCAGTAGAGAAAAGAATGCAATACTTTACTTCAAAATGCTGATTTAATTTGCTGTATAGAGGTGAAAAATAAGGATACACAAATGATATGTAAGACACACTAAAAATTAAAGCCCGACCGATATATCGGTTGGCCGATATTATCGGCTGATATGAGCAACTTTAGGCATATCGGCTATCGGCCAATATGCTTGCTGATAGGGGCCGATATTTCACGTGGGCATGTTATACCTCATTATAAAGCTTAGACTCTCTACATTCTGTTCATTTAATCCAATTTACAGACAGATAAATGTCCTAATATGTGGCTCCACATCAGTATTTATCTACGGAGTCATTTGTCTGTGTGTGTCCGTACTGTCCCTGAACACACCACAGAGTCGCGTCACTCACGTGTGTTTGTTTACACCTGCAGACACAGATCCAAACACTGAGATTATATTCTTTTTACGGACAATCGGTTTGAGTCTGGATTAAAAGGACATTTATTAGTGCAGATTTGTGATGTGAGGAGGAGCCTGTATGAGCGGTGAGTGTTGGAAATATGTCGACTCTGAAGCTAGTTTTTGTCATTTGTTATGGGTTAGCTGCTGTAGCTCCCGCACATAAACAGACTGTTTTGTATTGGTCTGTTCTAAAGTGACTATATTGGCCGTATATTTGCTACTGGACCTGCACTGATATGTAAATGAGCTGTGAATAGAGGTCTGAATTATGACATTTGCGCATATAATTAATTACCGCGGCGCGCATGTATTTACGGCTAAAGGCTAATAGCGCTACTTTCTTTACTAGTTATGGGTCCGTCGCGAACGAAATGACTCTTAGAACCGGCTCTTTAAAGGGAACGACGGGAGCCTGATCCTTATTGGGAGCCGTGTTTTCTCTTTCTCTCACTTTTTTTCTCTTCACGCCGCGTGCAGATTCGTGGTTTGACAGCAGCAGCGGCTCAAAACGAAACTTTGAGAAATTTGCGTGTAAGTAGGATTTTAAAAAAATAAAATAAAATAAAAAAACGAACATATTTGACTGTAGTTTAGCATAAAATAAATAAGTCCCGGTTTAGTCCTTTTTCAGTCCTGGTTTAGACCTGGTTCAGTCTTGATTCAGTCCTGCTTTAGACGTGCTTTAGTCCTGCTTGCAACAAAACAATCTGAAGAGCCACTTGGGAGCCAAAAGAACCAGCAGCTTTTAGTGAGCCGAGCCAAAAGAGCCGGTTCTCTAAAAAGAACTGGAATACCCATCACTAGTGTCTAGAATGTGATGCAAAAATAACATTAAGTCAACCTACTGTCTGTAAATATGATGTAAAGAGGCAGAATAACAATAAATGTTGCCTAAATAAACCCAATTTAAAATCCACCAGAGCCAAACCTAAGTTTTTTAAACAATTCAACATTTACAGTGAATTTTTACATCACTAAATATATCGGTGATTATATCGGCTATCGGCAGCTCCAACTTCCATTATATTGGTTTCATATCGGCCACAGCAAAATCCATATCGGTCGGGCTCTACTAAAAATATTCTGTAAACTGAACTAAAAATGACCCTATGAAATAACCAGTACTAACCAAGAATGCTTAAATGCAATAAGAACAATATCTTATATTTTCAATATAACACAAAGCAAAAGCAAGAAATTATCAGCAGCAAATACAGCCTTGATCCAAATTAATTAATTAATTAGTCATTGCATTTATACAGTGCCTTTCAAGACACCCAAAGCACTTCACAGTGCAGTTTTCATTCACTTCGCACTCTGTGGTGGTAAGATACTATTGTAGCCACAGCTGCCCTGGGACAGACTGATGGAAACAAGGCTGCCAATCTGCACCATCAGCCCCTCCAACCACTACCAACACTCATACACATTCCACTTTCTTACTAAGCAATGTGAGTGAAGTGTCTTGCCTAAGGGCCCAATGACAGTTTTGCCACTACTGCCCCACTGTGGCACCTGTTATTCCAACCAGTCTCCAGTGTTGTGCAGTTCACACTTTTCATGAACTAGTTCAAAGTTCAGTTCACACTTGTTCAAAGTGACCGTTCATAGTCACAATTTTAATTTTGAACTAGTTCAAAGTTCAGTTCATTTTATATTTAGATGAGATCTGTAAATGAAAGGCTGCATTTATTTTTCAAACTGACTTCTAGTTTACAACAACTTTACAAGATCACTGTTGGACAAGTGACTTTAAAACTGTAACATGTTATTTATGACTTGTTATTGTCATTTCTAAGTCATTTGTTACATACATTAAAATTTAAAACATTACACGACTATTGCAGCACTTTTAAATTACTCTCACCAAAAGAACTGTTAAGATGCTGAACTTTTGCGCCGTATATGGACACTAAACCAGGACTGCAAACCAGGTTAAACAGGAAAACCACACCAGGACACAGGTCTAAACAGGTCTAAACCAGGACTGAACCAGGTCTAAACCAGGACTAAACAGAACTGAACCAGGTCTAAACCAGGACTAAACCAGAACTGAACAGGTCTAAACCAGGACTAAACAGGTCTAAACAGAACTGAAGCAGGACTAAACAGAACTTAAACCAGGACTAACCAGGTCTATATCAGGACTGAACCAGGACTAAACCAGAACTGAACCAGGAAACAGGTCTAAACCAGTGAACCAGTTGAACCAGAACTGAACAGGACTAAACCAAGACTACACCAGGACCAAACCAGGACTAGAACTTGGAATTCGGACCGCCCCTGAGAGAACCCCGAGTGCGATCGGGCGTCAGCTGCGTTTATCTCGGTGGAGCGCGGACTTCTGCGTCGGTCCTTTCGCTCAGGATCACGGTTACGCGGGCGCACCTCCGGCGTTTCACCGCTGCTGAATCGCGGTGATTTTAGCAAATTTGTATGAAGAAAAACGAAAAACCCACCATTTCAATCCAGGTTAAAAAAGCATTGTGACGCGCGTTACTGACATATGTACCATTATGCGCGCGAGCAGCACGTCCTGTGCGTGTAGATTTCAGAAAATAGGATCCATCCTATTTTTTGACGCTACACGAACGTCCCCGTCAAAATCCACAGAGAGCATGTATCTATTGTTGTATTTGTGCATTTACCATCAGCACATGTGCTCCCTGGGCAGTTGAGTATCATGTGAAAGAGCCCAGATCCACATACACTGTTAATTAGTGCTATGACATTTTCTTTTGAAATCCTTGCGTTTGCCGTGGTCAGCCTGTACAGAAGGTAAATACAAGCAGCTAAACGCGCCCAGTCAAGTTTGATTGACTTCCCATTGAGAGACACAAGAGCCCGTACGTTCCGCTAAAGCTGCCGGTGGAGTCGCCTTCGCGTTGACACGCGGCTGTGGTTTCACGAGGTGAAGTGCGAGCAGATCGTCACTCGTCAGGTGAAAACTAATTCCGAGTTTAACTGAACCCCAACAGTGACGTACGTCGTTCATCACACATAATTTGAACAAATTCACGTTCAAGTTCTTGATTTACAAAAGTGTTGCGTTCAGTTCAAAGTTCACTGAAAAATGAACGTGTTCAATGAACGCGTTCTTTTGAACTCGTTCATGCACAACACTGCAGTCTCCCATTCAAGTACTAACCAGACCCGGCGTTGCTTAGCTTCTCAGATCTGATGAGATGATTTGACAAGCTAGTATGGCCACACAAATGCAAAACACTTGCATTCAAAAAACACCAGGACACATTGTGGGGGCGCTTTGATTCAAAGACAGCAACAATTTTACAAAGTTATGCATCTAGAAGTAAAATTTGTAATTATTATAAGGATGCAGCTTACAAACAGCAGTAGTTCTCTAAACATTCTGTACATTTGAGATGCAGGTCCTTGCTAAAGCCAGGCCTCAGATGACATTGTGTTAGCAGTGAGTCATTATCTGCTGGAGAAAGAGTCCACAAGTGCTGCCCACATTCTCAACATGTAACTCCAGTTAACAGCAGACACAGCAGCACCAGGCAAGATATGAGCCAAGAAATACTGCAGCCGCCACGACGTTAACATAATGCTAATAGTCATGCAATTATAACATGAAAAACAGGGCTTTTAGTTGTTTCAGAAAAACGGGGTGGTGCGGACAGAGGCTCAGCTTTTAATAGTGTAGGTGTATAACCTAAGTTAGAAACAGCTATTGATAGAGGTGGGTAATAGGTTGTCTAAAAAGTAAGTTAGAATCACTGGTGTATTTCTGAAGATATGCAAAATGTGAATATAGAAATAATATAATAAGCTAATATTTTTGTTAAAATCACTCACACACTATAGAGATTTTTTACCTTAAGGAGGTCCAGCAGAGCTCCACCAATGATGCCCAGGTATCTGCGCTCCAGTGTCTGAGGGTGATTCACTGTTGGGAACTAAAATGGAAGAGGCTTCTATGAGAGATGGAACTGTCAACTATAAAGATTACACAATGCTATGAATTAACATTGTTTGAAAATTTTAATCAACAAGTAAAAAAGAAAAAAAAAAGACACTGTGACTCATCTACCTAGAATGGCTTATGTAATAATTTGTCCGTTCTTTGTTATAGGTCTAATGACTTTTGTGTTTGTGCTTATTAGAAGCTAAGTGAATAACTCCCATTAAATGTAATTTGCCCAATTATATAATTGTTTTGCTCCACACAAAGCCTCTTTTCCACTATTTTTGCCACTAATTCTTTCTCTGGACCCAAGAAGCATAAAATAAGATTCACAAATTTCATCTGTATTTATAACTCCTGGTCAGGGACATTGACATATAAAGCTTGATAGTTTTTTGGAACATCTTCTCCAGCTCTAGGCTGTGGTAGCTTGTTGCTTTTGACTTCCATTTCTCTGTAAAAGTCCTTTAAATGTACTGTTTGCTCATGTCAAATGTCCACTGGCTGTTCTTTTTGTTCCAGTGTTACATAAATATCACAGCAGGTGTCCAGCCTGGTGCAGCCTGGTTCAAAGAGCCATCAATCAAAGCGTCTGGTTTCCTGGGGCTGTATTAGAAAGGTGCTGTCTGTATTGAGTGCTGGATTATGTGATCTAGATTAGATCAAGGTGAACATGTATGTTTGTATTGTGGTATTTAACTGGAAATTATTTACAAAACAATACACTACAAAAATATCTTTAAGACTGAAATTCCTATTCAGAATATTACAATAATATGTGTTCTAATTGTTTTGACAAGTTTACATTTATTACACTTGGATGATATCATATGCTAATTCATCATATTATTCTTGCTAAATTATATGGCAGCGAATGTAGAAAACTGTTGTCACCATACTGGCAGAACGTTTTTGGCTTGAATCTTAAAAGCAGTCAAACAGATCATTAAACTTGCTGAATAATCCAGTTTACATCTTAACTATGTTCTATTTTTCTGCATAATTTGACCACCTACAAGCGACTGAAATGGCATCAAAGAGGAGTCTTATTATCAGTGGTTTTCACAGTAAGCAATGCATAGAGAGGGGTCTAGTTTCCTCTAATAATTACATCCTGAGGCGTGGGCAAAGAGGAGGAAGAGAAGAAGAACAACCCAGGTCTGTTGCACCAGCAGGCTTCACACAGCATACAGAATACATGATACAGGATGACTCATTGAGATCCAATCAGTCACGGCACAGCAAAAAAACAAGTGTAGAAACATAGCAGGGTGAGAAGATAAATAAAAGGGAGGAGAGGAGTGGAGGCGAATGGAAAACAGCGAGTCAATAGATCACGAGTGATGGAGGGCAGAGGGGAGGGTTTTGATGGTAAAATCCTATGTGGCTTAGAAGGTGGGAGACAGGACCAAAATTAATATCATGGGACTTTTATAATACAGTATTGTTTTTATTGCAGAGCTAAACTCAAAATATTTTCACTGAGGGCTGCATACTGAAACATATCTGAACCTGAATGCCACTTTAAATGGTTCCATTTAACATACAGGTTTGACTGAGCCACCACACATTTAATAAAGCTTGGAACATTAAGGTCAAGGTTTGTAATTGAGGTTATGATGACAGGTCGTTTAAAATTTGCTGTAAAAATTACTGCTTATGAGAAAATGGGCTAATTCACCAGAAGGCTTGAGGGCCAACTAAAATTGATCTTAACTTGAAAGGTGCATTGTGTAACTTTTCTGGTGGAGGATCCGTCAAACTCTTTTCTCTGTGGAGGTGTTGGTGCTTTGTCCGGAATATTTCACAGTATGGCATTTAACCTATACATCTTCACAGTCAGAATAACTTTTTCTCTAGCTACCGTATTTTCCGCACTATTGAGTGCACCTGAATATAAGCCGCATCAAGTAAATTTTAACAAAATTTTAAAATTATACATATATAGACCGCACCTGAATATAAGCCGCAGGTGTCCACATCTTCAAGAATGTTAACAAGTTAGGGCCATCTGCTATTATCGCTTCTGAAAGCTTTTGTCACCTTTTTGCATTGAGTCAGTTCGTCACCCTGCCATTGCCAACGTCTCACCATCGACTCACTGATGTCGAGCTCATGCGCAGCAGCTCGGTTTCCTTCTTCCACAGCCACATCAGTTGCTTTTAACTTAAAAGCTGCATCATCTACATTTGTTTGTGTATTTTCCATGAGGAGGATGCGTGTATGAAGCACAAAATAACAGTTCAAATCATGATCAAACGAGCATCTTCCTTGGCACATCATCCCCGTCTCTCCCCGGGCTCTATACGGCGCATGTCTCCTGTGGAAAGGCCCGCTGTCCTGTCTGTATCATGTCAGTGTCTTGGAGGATTTCAGCAGATTTCAGGCTCTCCCAGGGGCAGGACTAGTTCTATCAATCAGGTATGAGTGGATGTCCGGCTACTGACGTTTGAGACGTTTCTTCTTGTCATTTACGCATACAGGTAAGATGTATGCCCCTCACTAATGTTAGTTTAGCATCAAAACTTATTTTATCACACAGCGATAAACTCTTTAAGCACGCTAACAATATCGCTAGCTAGTATGCAACTTACGTTACCTATGTTACCTGCACAGACAGCTGTGTTTTCTGCACTCATGCTGTGTATAGCTACTGTGTTGCCAAACCATATACCGTATATATGAATGAACAATGTGCCAAACAAAGAATTCGTCCATATATTCGCCGCATCGTTTTATTGGACGCAGGGTTCAAAGTGTGAGAAAAAATTTGAGGCTTATCGTCTAGAATTTACGGTATTTTTGAGCAGTAAAACCACCTGTAATTTAACAAATGTAAAGTAGAGCTGGTTAATGTCATACTGTGAAATATTCCAGGTAATGCAAGGACATATCCATAGAAACAAGCAGGTGACAGACGTTCCGCCAGAAAAGTTACATAATGCACCTTTACAACCATATTAGCCCCCAGGCCATAGTTTGTTATATATATTATTTGTAGGTATATAATTTATAGGTTCAGGTGCAGCAGCTTCAAAAGCACTGACACGGGATTCCTAAAAATGGCTGAAATAGACATTATTTCAAAATGCATTTTAAGGCAAAATACAGGATATATAAATAGGCCCTGACCCAAATGCAAATTTTCTTTTACAGCTCACTGTATATATTCATTAAAGTCACTCTGCAAGATGGTAAAAACTACAATGAAAAAAAGGAAAGAAGTAGTCTATTATGGTGATTCAAATGACCAAATACATGCAGCAGCGGTCATAGAATAGAGGATGAGAGAGTTGTTTTGGTGGTACCCGCAGCCCATGGAAGCGAGGGTTGTTGTAGAAGAGCTTCATCTGCTCTGGAGGCAGAGGGCCCAAGACTTTCTGGATGGTGAAAAGCTGGTCGATCTCACTCTCTCCTGGAAACAGAGGCTGCCCATCGCTCAGCTCCCCAAGAATACAGCCCACTGACCACATGTCCACTGCTTTACCGTATGGAGCCCTGGGAACAAGGAGGAAGGTGTGGTTACAACAGTAAAGATTAGAGAATAACCCCATAATTTAATCTACTGACTGTTTGGCCTAAATTAAAATATGAATAGTCAGTATCCTACTCAGGCCGTACAAACTTTGTAGGGACTGAATTATATAGGTTTTGTTAGGAATAGTCTCTCTCAACTAGATTTAGGCCACCACTTCAATTTCCAATGAGCCTGAAGACCTGAAATGATGTTTGCCAGTAAACCCGTGTATATATAAATAAATGAATTCTGAAATATTGCCAAAACTTTCAAAAAAAATTTCAAAGCAGTCTAACAAGGAATTTTGCTTGTTCTAAAATAATGAAAGTAACCACTTCTTTAAATTCTTGTGAGGAATGGGACACAAAAAATAAAATATGGCATACCCCAGAAGCAGTTCCGGAGAGCGGTACCATCTTGTGGCCACATACTCTGTATAATTGGCGTCGGTCCCCTCGGAGAGATTACGTGCGAAGCCTGGCAGGAGAATACAGAGGGAGCAATATAAGTATAATGAGCAGCTTTTTGATATTCCCCTCATGCTGAGACCTCAAAAATGACTGGTGGGTACCTCTCTGAGAGCTTATTAGGATTCAGAAGTGTACAATAAGCCTGGAGGAGCTGGCTAAGGTAAAAGCTACATCTGAATAGGAGATGATGAGACCTCTGGGAGCACAGCAGCACAGCAAACGTAGGCAAATCAATCTTCTGCTTTGTTTAACACTTGTTTACGGAGGCTTTCAATACAGAGGAAAAAAAAAATCAATACTTACCTTTGTTAATTACTGAGAAATAACCATTAGTGGATGTGCTTGTTATAAAGGGCATTAATGAACAAAATAATACATGGCAGATTGTAGAAAATAAGTGTTAATCTATAAATCTTTCATATTACAGTCAAGACTTGTCATGAGTACACTGAAAGTGATCAACATAAGGGCAGACTATGTTGCGTAATATTGAATTAATAACAAACATTGAACCTCAACAAGCGCATTCAAGTGATAAAAGAATGAACATTTTCCCAGCCTGAAGACTTTCAAGGCCTCTGGGAAGAAAATTTGGACAAACTCAACCTTTTAAGCAATAACTTAACTAATGTAACTAATCAAAGTGTAAAATCATTGCATCAGTTGATGAATAAGTTGCCTTTGGTCAAGAAAATACTTTTAGTGGAAAATGGTTTGTAGGGCTGGTGCTCTAGGGATCCACTTTACTCTCTTAATAACTGACTGAGTAGACAAGCTAGTGGGGGTTTACACATTAATGTCAGTCCCAATGAATCCAGGATGTAGGTAACAGTGGCCCACATGTATAGACTCAGTGCTGTGTTGTGCCCTGAGTCTGTTGAAGGAGCCTTTGGCTGACACAGAGCAAACAGCAGGTCTGCGTCTCTCACTCCAGATTGCTTACATGATGCCGGATATGCCATGTTTATCATTCCCCCTGTTTTGTTGTTGTGACGCTAGCAGATTGATTCAATGCTTGTTTTCACAACACAATTCATTCAGAACAATGCAGTGCATGGGAAGCATTTGCATAAATGCTGACCACATGAAATGGAGCAAGTTTGGCAAGAGCAACATAAACTCTGCATCGATAGAGTGTTCCGTCAGTAAAGGTCAGAGTTTCCCTAGGGGTATAGTGATGAACTTGCAACAAGTGAAGGATGGCTTGAACTTATGAGTACAGTATATGGCTATGGAGCTGAATATACAGATAAGTGTGAATAACTATAAACAAAACAAAATGGTCTTTGATGAGCAGGTGGTAACAATGTTAGGTCTATTTATTTAGTGATACAGGGAGAGGGCATAAAATGATTTAATTTAACATTAAACAGGAAAGAAAAATTTTGCAAATTACAATGTGAATGGTTGACTGGTATAACTTGTGATAGAAAAATAAATAAATAAATAACTTTGTCTCCTATTACAATTATATCTAACCTCTGTGTAAAACTTTAGACACTCACCGAAGTCACACAACTTGAGTACATCCTCGGAGCTGATGAGAAGGTTTTCCGGCTTGATATCTGAGGAAGAGGAGCACAGATGGGGAGGAAGCTGGCATTATTACATCACCACTACTAGTACCATGATTCTTAGCACCACCTGTTCCCCTGCCATTTCTGCTAAAAATCTCACAAAAAGTGGAACAAATGAATATTCACAGACAAGTCTCAAATGTGCAGTCCTAGCCTTGCTCCTGTATATGCCTGGGTATACCACGGGCCATTTGGAGGCTTGCTCTGCTGCCTCCCGAGTGCCAAAAGCTCACAAGGGCCATCTGGTTTCCTGTTCTGCTCCCACTGATGCGCCAAAGACTCACGTTGTGTGAATAATACAATGGTTAGATGGAGCACATCACAGCAACTCGCAGCTCTGTGCTATTGTTTCATGATAAGAATAGAAGAGTGCTGTTTTTGTTACAATTTGATGGAGAAATTGTACAGCTTTCAAAAGCACAGATGGTAAAATTGCTACACCATCAGTCTTTTTAGGTTTTAGGCATGTCATGAAGAAGTAAAAAGTCAATTTGGAATCTATTTCAGTATTTGAATTAAAAATGATCGTCATGTAGAACACTGAAGATAAGTGAGGGTTCTGGTGGTACATAGGTTCTACGGTAGTTTTAGTCTTTGGGTAATTTAAAAACTATTCTACACATTTTTGGCCTATGTCCAGTGAGTCCACATGCAATTATATTCAGATCTAGTTTAGCTCTAGTTTAGGCCTAGTATAGACCTACTTTTGACCTGTTGGAAAGCCATATTCTCTTGGTGGTACTTCATGTGAATTACAGTGCTGTGCTGCACAGTGACGTGCGTTTGGCAAGTGTATCATTACAGTTTTGTCACAGGTATATGTTTTGTCACAGGTGAATATGCTTTAGTAGTTTGTAAAAAAGCCCTTTACCTCGATGAACAATGTCATGCTTATGGCACCAGTGAATAGCTTTGATTAACTGGAAGATGTAGCTGCGTGCTTTGTCTGTGGGCACTCCATTGGGCAACTCCTCCAGCAGCTCAAGCATGTTCTACAAGAGAAAAATAAAAACTGTCATTCTACACCACGCCATCAGGCACAAGATGTGCTGTGTCTGAAACACTGTGATTTTACCACAGGTTCTAAGTACAAGATTATACATGTCTGAAATACAGACCTTCTCCACATACTCAAACACCAGGTAAAGCTTTCCTCTTCGGCGAAATGCCTCTTTGAGCTCCACAATGTTCTCCTGTTTGAGGGTCCGCAGCATCTTAAGCTCACGAAGCGTGGTTTCTTTGACCTCTTCATTTTCTGTACAGACACGACCAATGAATGATGAATTACAAAGCACATACTTCATACAAAATTCATAAAAATCTTCATAAAAATCATTCTTACCTTCACTGTCTTTGAACTTTTTAATAGCAACGATTTCATTGGTGTCCTGTAAGGAGACACAGGGGGAAGAAATCAATTGTAAAGCAGCAGTGCTTTTGCTATGGCTGAATACAGTGACGTGAATGGTGCTATTTTCATCATTTCTTTTGCACATTCATCTGCAAATAACAAAGCAATCAATAGTCCTCATGACACACCATTGGCCTCATGGAGAAGGCTCGACTTTTAGAAATGGGCTCATTAGCACTGCACAGAAGCAACTTCTGTTGTGACTCAGTCATAAGTAGGCTAATATCAATTTTCAGTGCAAAATATCCAAAGATTACCCACAATGCCACTGACTGCTTCATGTCATCGGCTAAAAAGTTGAATATTTATAATACATTTTTATGGTCAAACAGAGTGCATATGTTTACTGTGACTGTAGGCCTTTGTCTCTTATCAACAATCATTTTTTATTAGCCATCTAATTATTTTATTTAGACCATAAGAATGTATTAGAACAGCAGCAGGTGAGGGCATGAAAAGAGGCAGCTAGAGTTTTTGGAGTGAGTTTTGATTTGTCTTTTTACATAAATACAACGTGACTTTTCTGTATGCATCTCAGTTTGAAGCAGATGCATGCATAGAGCATGTCTTAAGTCATCCAAGAAAACATTTAGTCCACTAGAGCTCTAATATTTACATATAAAATAACAAGATTTGCTAGGTGACCTCTGAATGTTAAAATGAATTGCATTGTATGTGCAAACTGTGGTTTATAGCCCTAGTAGGGTGACATATAGGCAAACAGGTTACATTCAGCAGGCACATAAAAGCAGACTGTGTGGTTGAGCTGAAGAGCTTATGATGTTCTATCTGTCTCCTTGTCATGTCAGTATGCAGCGCGCATGGCCTGTTTCTGCTCCTGTCCTACTTAGGCCTGGGTTTTTCTGCCTGTGGCTCCCAGCACTGCTCCACTTTCCCCTCAGTCACAGAGCCCAGGGCAGCTCCAGCATGGATCCTCTAGCTCACAGCCAATCACATGACTCCTCACAAAAGCAAGCATCATGGAACTAGGAGCAGCTCATCTACTGGCCACTGAATAACTTATAAGAGACCACAGTCACCAGGACCTTTCTCAAGAAACACCTGCCTGCATATCATTGTGCTTATTTACACAAAGAACTGCTCATAACTCAGAAACATACATTAAGATTTGGCACGGTATGTCAAAACAATTGCCATGCAAGACTTTAATTCAACCATATGCATGAAACTAGCATAAAGCCTTTGCCCTTCTTATTTAATTCAACTTTACTGACCCCCAAGGGGGCTTGGCAGCTTTAGCTACATTAATTCATATTGCAAATGCCTGACACTTTGTTAAAGCAGCCAGGGATGAAGAGAATTTAATACAGATTAAAACAGATAATATGTGGCTAGTTTTTAGAGAGGGGGAAATAAATGGAAAATACTATTATGCTAAATATTATATATACTGTGTCTGTATGTTTTAAAGCTATTTCTACTCTTTAAATAGTCCTGCAGTGTTAATTAAAGTGATGTGATTGACTGCTGGATTTATAGTGAAATGAACACAAAAAGAATACTGTACAATAGTGTCATAAAAACAGTAACAATTGTACTTAGGGTTGGTACAGAGGTTGCACACGGTACACACTCAAACCGAGATATGTGATTGTAAAAGTTTTAAGAGGCCAGATCCTCTCTGCTGGTTAGAACGGCGTGCTCTAATTCACACACCAGTCATTTGAGTCACTTTGCATTAGCTCTACAATAACTGAGAGGCTGTAGACATGCTGCTAGGAGCATTTCACATAACTTCTGTATTCATAGCTCTTTAGAAATCCCAATGTGGCCGTGGGAGTGAAGCATGCTGGGTAAATGATGATCTTTGATGGTCACTGTCCCCCACTTCGCAGCATGACCACCACAGATGTACACACAGTGCTGCTGTGAGAATCAATAACTCTGACAAACAGCACATTTTAAAATGCACTGCTTACTTTGCTTTTATGAGAAACACCTTGGGATTTATGCAGAATGTGCTCCTAATCATCCATATAAAACAAAGGCCTGCCTCAGGTATAATCAATTAATATCCCTCTGTATTCATTTAAATGTAATCGTACTTTTATGTTCACGATAATCTAATTTCTTGTGGTGTGGTATCCTAGCTACAATATTTTGTATTTGTTTTATTTAACCTTTAATTGCCTCCCATTCAATTGCTGATGTAATATCCAAGAAGATTACACAAAAGCAAACAGGAAATTGCTTTGAAAGCAAGAGCAAAAATATTATATACACTACTTCCACCCCAATCCCATTATTTCAACTTTATCAAGGTCCTTAAAGAAATGATTGCTGTACCAATTTATTTGTGTAGTTTAGAAAAAAAGGATGGCTTTTCCAAAATAAAATAGAAATGGTGACTTAAAGGCTCTGTACCTTATTTTTTCCATGTTGTCGTACTAAATTTGTCCGGCTCCAGTATTGAATAAGCAGCTCTTAAGGTCAAAATAAGTCAGATGTGTAATGCCTGCATCTAATTATAAAGCTTGTTCCCCCCAATAATCAGAAAATGCACAGTTAGCATGCTAGTAGTTCTTTAACTGTAGCTTTAGCTTTACTGAGGAATGAGAAGGTGGCTGTCAAGATTGTAGGGAATGCAGGGAAATTCAGCCATGACTTAAGTTAAAAGTGAGATGAGTCAATGTTGTACGTGTCAAAAATAGTCATCCACGTTAAAGGGCTTCGTCATTTGATAGTTGATTGTTTTGGTACAAACAGTTATCTCCAGTATCTTCCACACAGTTAGTCAAGACAGTCCCGCACCTCCTTCTTTGATTTTGTCTTTCGTTTGTGAATTGTCCAAATAAGGAAATCAAACATGAACTTGGCTGCGACTTTTGTCAATAGCAGATCGGCCAATCTCTCAGTACAAACTGTTCAGCTAAAGAGTGGCAAAATTAAAAGCTAAAGAAAAACTGTAGCAAATTAGCTTAAGTCCAGATCTGTTTTAGTTTTGAGTTTATGTGTTTAGTCATACACAACCTGGCTTAGACCTGTTCAGTCTTATGTTTGACCTGGACTAGGCATCTGAAGGCAAAAGTGAAGTGGAAAATCATGTAATTGCAAAAGAGAAATTTGAATATCCTAAACTGTGAAAAATGATAACAACACAGATACAAATTGAAGTGATATCAGAGCCTGGTTTTAAAAGTTTGTTATAAATTACTTGCAATAGGAGATTATATATATATATATATATATATATATATATATATATATATATATATATATATATATATATATATATATATATATATATATATATATATATATATATATATATATATATACATATACATATACATATACATATATATATATATATATATATATATATAATAAGAGTGCATTCAGCTCTCAATAGGTTTCTAAATGATGCAAAAACACACATATGTTACGAGGAGGCAGTATGTTCTTGTTGGTCCATAGAGCATCATCTCTAAGGCAGGAGGCTGAGGCAGCGTTTTGGCTCTGTTTAACATTATACAAACAGCAACAATAACAGCCTCTAAATCACAGGAGACAGCTCCAGTTAAGATTTGAACATCTTCACTACAAAGACACCAATAAATCACACACAGAACTTGGCAAGAAAAGAGCAGTGCATCTCAAACTGTGGTATGAGTAC